CGATATCTCACACAAAGGTAGTGTTGTGCATAATGAGAGTTTGGGGGAATTTCTTGGAATCTACCCATGTGCAGTGTTAGGGTCTGCAGCATTGCTGAAGTATTTGTATTGGTAATCCTAGAAGTCAATCAGTCTTTTCCAGTCATAACTGGATGGTAGGCTTTACCAGGATTGGAAAGAATGGTAGCAGTCAGCTCCTTGTTTCTTTGTGCCTTTTGCTGTGGCTTGTTCTATCACTTTTAGCTATTAAAGGTAAAATGCTATAACCGGTTATTTCGATAAAATTTTTTATCTGTAGAGTATGTTAAGGACACTTCCCTGTCTGACCATCCAGGAGCCACTCTCGCAGTCATACTCGCACCATCTGAGCTGGGACTGAGGCCTCTTATGTGCTTACCAGAAAGCAGGGGAAAAAAAACCCCAAGCGTTCTGCTCAAGAGCATCTACCAGAAATAAGTACAATTAAGCAATAATACAGCAGCACCTACAGTAAAACAAAGTTAATGGAAGTGGGCTTACAAAAAAAAAAAAAAAATCACAACATTCTAAAGAATGACTGTACTGGAGCTCTAGCTGACATTTTATAGTCAAAATAAATATCTATTGTTATCCATTTAGTCTTTCAGTATGAAATTTTACTTTCGTAATTTTCTATCTTCCTAAAGAGACTTTGCCGCCTTCTTCTCCAGCTGCTGCTTACATGTATGCTTTTCTTCTCTCAAAACAAACAGAAGTAGCAACTGAAAATTTTAAGTGTTGAAAACAGGAAGCATCAAGGGGACTGAGATCAGTGAGAAGGTATAGGCTTGAAAGCAAGCTAGAAATAGAACAACTTTAATCAAAGGACATCCAGTATCTCTAGGATTCCCCTCTGCAAAGAGAATCCTTGAATGAAAGGTAGTATCATGAACGAAACCCCATGCTATTCTTTTTTTCACAGAATTCAGACATTTAATTTATTAAATACAGAGCAGTCTGCTATCCATCTCCAGAACTGGGTACAATAGAGGTTTAAAGCATCTTTAAATACTACCTGAGCTGGTCTTTTTTAGCAAACTTGTTATTAACTACTATTAATCAATCAGAGTGTCTAAGATTACTTAGAAGTTAGTCTTTGGGAGACTTAGCAAATTGCAAAAAAAGTGGTTTACACTTGCCTACAGAATTGTGAGGTAGTTGCAAAGAAAGGTGAGAAATAGGAATGTAACTGTTAGTGCAGAATTCAATTTCTTCTGTCCTCAACTCAAACCAGAAACTATTGTGACACCATTACCAAACATTTTTATCACTAGAACAACGAGAAACTTAAGGCAGTGGGATTTTAGTGAAAAAAGGCCATAGGTAAAGCTATTTAGCAGTAAGAGAGAAAAATTCCATACCATTACATGCACATGAACTAACTCCTAAATTATCTAATGGAATAAAACCTGGACTGCTGATAGAAGTATAGGGATTATTGGGTAACATCTGCATGGAATGCCAGAAAGACCTCTTCCTGGATCAAAAATTCTCAGACATAAATAAGTAAAAAAGCCAAACATCTATTATTCCTCATGTTCCACCATGAAGGCACTGCAGGAGTTTGTCCCACTTAAGTCAAGTCAACATTCCGTGGAACACATTTTTAAGACAACTTTGTCCTTTATATCCATTCATTATAACATCTAGGGCTGTGTGCACTATCAGTGTGTATGTACATCAACAGACCAGAATTTAAAAAAAAAAAAAAAAAAAGAAAAAGGACTACTTTCTCCTAAACACACATATACAAACAGAACAATTTAAACTTAAGATAAGCATGCACAGCTTATCCACAGAAACAATTAGTCACAGTCTTCAAGTCCAGATCAACAGAAGTACAGCAAAGTACTTGAGTACTTGGAAGAAGTCTTTGAGCACGTACAGTTCAGCGCAAGCCACCATCACCAGCATGTGCCCAGAATTAAAACACAGTGAAGTCTCACCATTAGTTAACAGTGGGCACCAATTCATCGAAACCACAAACCTGCCCCTTTCTTCTCTCCTCCTTCCTTCTGATGGCTTCCACCTCCCCTTACATTCTTTTTACTTTATGTCATCTGCATAACAGGGTCAGTCAACTTTAGAGGACCTCTTCATCATTTCTCACATCCAAAATCTCTCCTGGTTTATAGTTCTGCCCTTTTATTCTCACATCACCTTTACTTTTACAGAGCTACAACATTTCTAATAGAAATATGCAGTAAGAAGTCTTACTTCCCTAAGAACAAGAGCAGAGGGGGGGCTTTCACCAGAGGTCAACAGAAACCCTAGAAGAGAAAACAAAAGAAGTCAACTGCAAACACACAACCACATCATGCAGTGAAATCAAGCATTTTTATGTCTTAAAATATCAATAACTATTCCAGTTCAAAGAATACAGATAGCAGACACATTTTGTTAATTCTATTGTTAGCAACTCTCAGTACTGGGAGCTTTAAGAGTCCTATATTGGTATTTCTTTGTCCAACAAAGAAATGAGTGTGTCATATTGCAAAACTGATCAAAGCTTGTATTGTTTATACTGTAATGAACAGTATCACCTGTAAATGCTCACAAAACAGTCTTTAAACAGCAGCTTCACTGAGAATCATACTGTTCTAAGTACGGTTTACCATGACGAATGCTAAGTCTAGATACAAAATACTCCATCAAATCTGTGACAGCCCACCTACAACTATTCAAGATGCCAAATAAATCATTACACATGGAGACGGACTTATTTCAGCACAAATACGTCTGTTTCAGGAAAACTGATGTTCACAGCAGCAATTCCTACAATAGCGAAAGCTTTCATGTTTTCTCTCCTTCCGGCGATACTAAAGGACAGTAACTCCTAGAAGGACAGTGACTGCAAAATACTCGGTCATCACACGCGTGGGCAAGGCCTGCCCCGCCTCAGCGCCCGGACGGAGCCGCGGTTACCTGAGAAAACGCTGCAGCACTGATGACGAGAAGCTGCGGAGCATCGGCCGCACCTCCCTCACAGTCCAGGTCCCGCGCTCCGGGACCGCCCGTGCGGGCCGGGCCGGGCCAGGCCAGCGAGCGCTCCCTGCTGCCGGCGCGGGACCATTTCCCGCGGAACGGCTCGCGACGCTCGCAGGGCTTCCCGCAGAGCAGCAGATGAGCGGGGGTGAGCTGCCCTGACATCTGCGCTGGGAACAGGATCCGGACAGGCCAGGGTCACAACGGAACCAAGTAACTGCCGCCATCCCCCAGGACACGGGGACCCAGTGACACACGGAGGCGCGGGCAGCGGGCAGCTCCCCTGAAAGATCGCCCAGGGCAAGCCAAGCAGACGGCCAGCGCAGGAAGGACTCCGTTTGCTCGGGGGAACAGCCGCCGCAGGGACAGCGCTGCCCCAGCAGCCTCTGCTGGGCGGGCGCTGCCACCTCGAGGGAGCGAGCGCGAGCTTCTGGGCTCGCCGCGGTCCCCAGCGGTTCTCCAGCCTCGCGCGGAGCCCGTGGCGAACATCGCTCTCGCTGAGCCCGGAGGCGGCCGGAGCAGCGCTTCCAGGGCCAAGGCTGCCGCCAGGGACCGCTACAACCCCCGCTCCCAGTGGGGCAACACACCACCACCATCGCCCTGAGCTGCCGCGGCCCCTTTAAGGCTTTTCCTGAGAAAAGCGACGTGCGCGGGGCGGGGTCACTGGTGGCTCCGCCCCCCGTTATAAGGGCGGTGGCCGGCTCGCGCCGCGGCAGTGACCAGGCGCAGTCGTGGCGCATGCGTGTCGCGCTGGCGGCCGCGCGGAGCTGCGCGACACTGTCGGGGTGAGTGACGGCCCCGGCGGCACCGCCCGCGCCCCGCGGTCACATGGCGGCGGCGCCCCCCGGCCCCGTGCCCGCGCCCCGGGGCCCCTCGGCCGCGGCTCGGTGTCGCCCCGTCCCTTATGCGCCGGGCCGCACCGCTGGCGAGAGGAGCGGGGCCCGTGGCCGGTGGGTTGGGCGGCCACCGGCGGCACACGCGGGTCGGGCGGGTCGCGGCGCCGGAGTTGGCCGGGCCCCGGGCACGGAGGCGCGGCGCGGCCCACGCCAGCGAGCCCGAGGGGTGGCGGCGGCCGCGGCCCGGGTGGCGCGCGGGAGGAGCGGGAGGGCGTTTGGTGCCCTTGTGCTGCCGGGGGGTGGGTGGAGTGGGGGCGTGGGGCACCGGGGCGGACCCGCCGCGGCGTCGTTCACCCGCGGGGGTCTACCGGGAGCGTCTCGTGTGCGGCCGCCGCCGTGCTCGCCGCGGTGGGATCGGGAGCGCTACCGCGGCAGGAGTCCCTCTAGGGGCGATGGGACCCGCTCAGGGTCAGCGATGCCCGTAACCACATTCTTGGAAATCAGCATGGCGTGCCACGCATTTTCTTCCTGACTCGAAACAGTATCACTGGTCGTCTCGCTCCTGGGAGGGGACCGCACTGGGAGCTCGGACTCTGTGCTTCGCACTCTAATTTAGGATGGCTTAATTTAGAATAAACATTTCTTTGTGACTTACTACCCCATTACAGAGTTATCCTCGATTTTCTAAAATAGCCAGTCTGTGGTGGTTAAATCTGGAGACATCGCTGTATCCTTCCAGTACTGACAGTGCATCTCTCGAGCCTGTGACACGCAGAGCGAGCAGGCCTTGGGGCTCTGGAGACTTCAGTGGCCTCCTGTCACTAGTGCACAGATGAAGGGCCCTGTGCAGTATTCTGAAGTAATAAGCAAAAAGGTTATTATGCTTGATCTAAAGTTAACAGTACCTCATTATATATTAATAAACTGGATAGAAAAGGCTCTGGGGGTAAGGTGTATGGTCATTTTGGGAATACTCGAGTCTTTGTTATACTGGAATGACAGCTGAAATGCATTTGTGAATTGCATTTATAATCTAGTTAAACTGCTCAATTTACCTTTATTACTTTATAGACAAACCTAGTTTTCTTTACCTATATGGGATAATTTTCTAATTTTTTTTTTTTTTTTGATAGAAACCTGTCTTGGGGGGGCGGGGGGGGAATATGTCCTTGGTGAAGTCATTTGTCATCCTTTTCAGTATAGGAATTATTTCAGAGGAAAACAGTTCCACTTCTCTGCAGTGGAAAACAGAATTAAAAGTTATCACACTGTGTCTAACACTGAGTCACCTATAAAGGAATTTTTATTTCCTGAATGTAAGCTGTCTGTATTCACATTAAAATTTTCAGAAGGGTGAAGTACCATACCTTACGCATGCATCTGAAATCTGACAAACAGAGGCAAGACAATTGTCTTGCTATTTAATTATTAGTTTTCTACTGGCGATTTACAGGTTCCTCCCATTTGCTATGCAGGACTGTGAAATGGTAGCCCAAATTTTAAGTGAACTTAAACTCCTTGATGAACTGTGGTTCTTTGAATGTATTTCGAACTAGCTGACTGTTACAATCTAAATGCATCTTTTGTCTGCTGTTCAGTCGATTTGCCTGGAGTATACCCATAGAGTTAGTTTTATTTGCAGTCATCTATGATTTGAGCAATTACTAAGTGATCATAATCTTAAATTCTGTGCAACAGAATGGTCTATTTCTGGCTGGCAGAATGCATAGAAAAGTATCTGGAAGTTAAGAACATAATTAATTTATTTAATAACTATAAAGAATATAATTCCTGTAAATGGAAAAATCTTCTTAGGCCCATATCTGAGCATGATTTGGCCTGTGACTCAGGAATACTGAACTGCACTATGGAGGTTTGATGCATAGTAAATAAGATCTAATTATTTATTAAATTAGTAGATTTAAACTAATCTCCTCATGAGGCTGTTTCTGCTAGGTGTGAGTTACTCAGCATTTATCTAGTTGCACAGACAGAAGTACTTAAGGGATGGATGATATGAGAACTAGAGAACCAGAAAGTTTTAGGTGTGTGGTTTTTTTTTTTTTTTTTAAGCACATGGAGTTCCAGAAAGTATATTAACAGCTCTTAAGCTTTTAAAGTCCAACTGGAAGTCTGAAATGCTTAAATATGAAAAGAGGTAGCTCTATCTCAGGTACTTACGTTAAATAGAAAGTCAAAGGAGAAAAAGGAAATTACATCACCTTGTCAAATAAGGAACAGCTAGCTGGAATGGATGACTTGTAGTGCAAAAATGTGCCCCTCCTCCTGTGAATTGCTTCTGAGATTCGTTAAAGATAATGTGGTGGCAAGGTGAGCAAAAATAGGTTGTGGATTTAAGGTAGACACATTTCTTCCCCTCCCAAAGGGGTAAGCAGGTCTTACTTTTTTTTTTTTTCTTTCCTTCTTTTCTGTTTCTCAGCTTCTCTTCAAGAGTGTTGCCTTTATAAAATCTGTGTCTCCTTTGCGCTGTTGCCTTACAGTGAATGGTGTTGGTAGCTTCCTAATGCATCAGCAAATCTTTGAATTGCCTTGGCTTGTATGTGCCTTGTAGAAATTACTAGTTATAGTTTTAGTGTGAACTCCATTTCTTCAAAAGTGCTTCAACCTTCCTAAGTGCCATAATCGACGCATAACTAGGCCAGACAAGCAGAGTAACTAGAAACCCATTCTGTGCAAATGAGCAGCACATGAGTGTGAGATCAGGAAGACTTCATTACTTCCTAGTGTCCATTTCCTTTAGCAAATACAATTTGATGTTATTTATGGTTAAGTTTAGATCCTTAAATTTTTAAGGAGGCAGGATTGGGACAGCAGTTACACTGAGAACTGTTGATGTTTGTATCTTCATGACTGACTTTTGTAAATTTTACTAGTTTTTAAAGCCAGTGACTAAAATACAATGCATACTACTTGGCTTTAGTACGAGTGCGCTGTCTAAAATATAGAGTTTGTACTCCTCGATTACATGTTCTCATGTCTCCCTCTTAAGATATTATGTCTTCAAACAAGCTTATGCATGTTTTAAAATATTAGCATCTACTCTCTTAAGACTCCACTGAAAAAGTAACTAGTTGGTTTAGTGAAAGAACACTACTTCTCTCAATAGTCCTAGCTTAAGGCACTCAGGATAGTTTCATAACTCTGAAATGTCAAGGCAAATCACCTTCTGTGAATTTGCAAAGAGGTTATTTTTAGAATGAAGCAAGTTTTATGGCTGCAAAAATTGTATTTTTGAAAAAGAAAGACTTACTGAAACAAGTGAAAATTAGCTTTTCCTCGAGTATGTAAATATCTAAGTCATTTTAGATGTTAACATTAGCATTCCAGAGGGATATCAGAGAGGTGATTGTGCAACTATCAGTCTTGAAAGCTGAGATTCAGACAACATTTGGGAAGCTGACACAGTAATTATCTGCAGTGGTTTTGGCATGGGAGCTGGTGGAGGTTGGGCTTCTTAACAAGCCCTGCAAGGGTTGTATGTTAACACAGCACATTACACGTGCTCTCAAACTACAACAGTTGTTCCCCCTGCCTGATTTTTTATATTTTAATCAGTGTCTTGCTCATGGTCTTGTCAGGTGTTGCACATGCGCTGAAGTGGAATACTATCATTTGCTGACCGATCAGTGTTTTGTACCAGTGATTTTATTTTTACTTGTAACTTGCATTTGACTTCAGAAATACTGAAATGGACCGTAGGCATTAACCTTAAGTTCACTAATTCATTCTCCTTCATTTCTTTGGCAGATTTGTTGCTATGGGATAGCATAAAAATCATGGGATAGGCATAAAAAATCATTGCTCAATACAGTGTGAGCTGATAAGATGGATGTCTTATTTGCAAATTACATTAACATGTTAAGAAGTAATTTTAGAATTGATGCTCTATGTGTACTGTGCTGCTTAAGTAATTTTGACAAATGGATACCTCTAGTGTTCTGCTCCCCCATAAACAATGATTCTGCTTGTACTTACAGAACTATGTTATTGCTTCCTGGGGCTGTATGTTTATATTTAGTTTTCTGATGAAAATCTGCAATTCCTATTACTGGGAAGGGTCCAACTTAACTGCGTTATGCAAAAATTTCCAGCCTTAAACTACCTTTTTAAGGAGGTTTTATGAAGGGAAGAACATGGTCTTCACTAAAATCAGGAGGATTATGCTGCAGCAGATAGAGCACTGGTTCGTCCCCTGTTCACTTTTATGAAAGCCTCCTGTCTAGAGTTATTCTGAAATGCCTGACTAAAATATATGAGGTATCTGGCAGTGAATTAAAAAATCCCATTTCTGTTGACACAGTGGTGATCACTGAAAGTCATGATCAAGAAAACCATCGGACTCTTAGAGAGAATGTGATTAGGTCTCGCACATCATAAACATACATACAGTCAGAAGCTGTTTTGCTTATACTCTTTTCTTAAGATGATCAATACTGGACCAAATTCAAATTCAGAAAAGCACAGCAGAGTTGGTCTTTCTCAAACAGTTGTTTATAAATGGCAAATAGTGGTGCTGGACTGCAAACTAATCCCAGGGCACCTGGTTATAGTCCTGTTTATAAGTCTGCCCATCCCTTGTGCTGCAAGTAGGTATGATGGATCTTTCCTCCTAAAGGAAAAGGAAGGTTATACATCTGCATAGAAAGCCTTGGTTTAGAACAAATTTACCGTAAGTATAAGCAATTAGCTGTTTCTATACCCACTGCAGTATACCATACTTCGAAGGGATTTTCTTGACAGGTATGCTGGTATGCGGGTATCACTGATGGAGCTTGCCCTCAGGTGTTGTTTGACTTCTTTAGGTGGAATTCTTTTGGGGGAGAGGTGTAGAGAAGTTCACATTAGTATTATATGGTCATATTATTGATTTTCAAGGGAGATACAAATTAAACTGGTTTTGATGAGGTTTGGTTTGGTAGGGTTTTTGTTTGTGTGTGTTTTTTAAACAGCCATATAGCACCATATTGCACTTGCTGAAATCAGGCTATTTGTGTAGATGAATCCCAGAATCAAAGAACGTCTTGGCTTATAGTTTTGGACTTAATTTTTTGTGCCTTCATGATGCTGACTAATTTTACACTGCCCCTTCCCGAATAATCCTATCTGAATTTCCTAAGCAAAACCCTGTGAGTCAACTTATTCCTTAGACTCTGCTTACTTACTCAATATATAGTAATTGCCAACACATTTTTTCTGTTGTAAATGGGCCAGATAAAGCATTGTTCACACATTCAAAATAGATCTGAATGCAGCAGTATGGTTTCAGCTGAGATTATTTCAAATCACTAGATTTCCAATTTGTTTGAAATAGCTAGAAGACTTGAGGCTGTTTTAAAGTGTCTTAGTGCTTACTGCTTTATATAAAAGAAGTTTTAGAGTTCCAGTTCAGGCATTCAGTAATTCTGTTTATTGGAGCAAAGGCTATGAAAGGTAATACTTAACAACAGACTAAGCTGTTACATGTTGGCTACACTGGAAACTATAAACTCTTTAGCAAAAAGATAAAACTAAAGATAGATAGCAACTAGCAAGTTTAAAATAGATTGTTCTAGAAAACTTTTTAAAAACAGATTTTGTATGAATAACTAGTAGTTTATGTACAAGAACTGTTGTTGATGCACAGTTGCAATATATCAATAGCTTTACTGAACATGAGTTTTTTTCTGTAGAGTTTAATTCTCTAAGAGAATTGTACTTTAATTTTGCAAACAGACTCAAAGCAAGAAGATTGGTCAGCTTTTTCTGTTGGCAAGTATTAGGACAGAAGACCTTTCTACTGAGCTGTTTAATTACTTGAATACTGAAATTTCAGATGGGACATGAAATCATCAGGTTTGCATTTCTGATATTTGTTTTCTCTGTTGAAGGGAATGAAAACCGCAGGAAACCTGTCAAGTACTGAATATCTAAGGTCGTGAGACATCACCAGAGAACACTGCACAATGTCAACTGCAGGAGTTGCTGCTCAGGAGATGAGAGTCCCATTAAAAACCGGGTTTCTTCACAGTAGTCAAGGCATGGGGAGTCTGAAAACCTGCTGGGGTAGCCACAGTGGATTTGAAAAGTGAGTGAGGCTAAAATTTTATCTGTTGCATCTTCAAGTATATGAAATAAGTGTTATGAATACTTGTATTGGGTAACAGACCTATGGTTTGTTTACAGTGAAGGCTTTTTTTTTTTTTTTTTTTTAGTACTTTCTTTAGTGTGGAGCCTATAGCAGTGGCATATAATTTAGGTCCATCAACAGAGCAGCATTTGCCATCCATTGGTGAGTATAAAAGACTGACACACGAGTGTTCAGAAGTGCAGTGGATTAGTCTGGAAACCTCTCTGGGCCTGACACAGACCCGTCCCTGGTTGCCCCGGGCGCCCCCCGGTGCCAGAATGGAGCATTTCAAGAAAATGCTCCTATTCAAGTCCAACCAAAAAACCTACCTTTAAATAACATGATGAAGTTCAAACAAACAAAACCACTCCGACACACCTTTTCCTTGTACTTATGATGCCTCCAAGTTGCCATTACACTTCTGACAGAAAAACCATTTACTAAAATAGCACTTGTTCTGTTGTAGTCCTATGCTGGGATCTTTGTAACTATAGCTCTCTTGCTTATGCACGGGGGTCTCTTGAACTACCTCATTTAACTGGAGCACTGACCTGAAACAATAAAGTAATCTGCTGCTATCTTAACTAAACACATAAATTCATGACCCGAAGAGATCTGTAATACCTACGTTTCACTACTGTAGTTATAAACAGACACCACTTACTGTTGCATTAGAAGGAATTAAATATGCAGTGGTAAAGTCATGTGCTAGAGTGTTACTTAGAAACATGTCCCTAAGAATTTTTCACCTTTTTAGGGCACTCTTCCAGCCAGGCTTCCATGAATGACCACATTGCTGAAAGTTGCATCCAAGTGCCATCTCAGAAATCCAGTCCCCTTCCTGTAAGTCCCAAAAATGAACAGACAATTTCAAGATATGAAGACCATCTCGTTCCTGGCTTCAGTAAACTGTCATTAACCATGAGCTGTGTTTCTGGAAAAACACCTCCTCACATGGCAATAAAAAATGGACCAATTCAATTTCTGTCTGCATCTTCCAGTGATCGTAGCTCCAGACCACTACCCCCTCTGCCTATTTCTGAAGACCTTGCTTCAGATGAGGTTGACAAAGAAGTGGAATTCCTGACTAGCTCAGATACTGACTTTTTATTAGAAGATTATGAACTTCCTTTTAAAGCCAGTGCTCCAAGTCGGCGGAGCTTTAGGGGCTGTGGACAAATCAACTATGCATACTTTGATACTCCAACAGGACCAAAACCAGAAGATTCCAACCCTACACAAAGCCTAAATGTATACATATCCAGTATTTACCCTCCTCAACAGCAGCTGCATCGGCGCTTGCGAAGGTCCCATTCTGGGCCAGCTGGATCTCTTAATAAACCAATAGTAAGACTATCTGGACACTTAAACAGGTCTTCTCCAACCTCTGATGAAGATAAACCAGAGATTCCACCACGGGTTCCCATACCTCCAAGGGCACTCAAACCAGACCACAGAAGGTGGTCAGCAGAAGTTGCTTCTAGTGCATACAGCGATGAAGACAGGCCTCCAAAAGTACCCCCAAGAGAACCTCTGTCACGCAGCAATTCCCGTACCCCAAGTCCCAAAAGCCTCCCATCATACCTCAATGGGGTTATGCCCCCCACCCAGAGTTTTGCACCTGATCCTAAGTATGTCAGCAGCAAAGCTCTACAAAGACAAAATAGTGAAGGATCTTCAAACAGGGTCCCTTGCATTCTTCCAATTATTGAAAATGGTAAGAAGGCCAGTTCAACACATTACTATCTGCTACCTGAGAGGCCTCCATATTTGGACAAGTATGAGAAATTCTTCAGAGAAGCAGAAGAAAGGAGCTCTAACACCGAGGTTCAGTCCTGGTCTGGTGATTGCACAGCCACCTCAGCCCCAATAAAACTGGACTCAAAACCCAGAATGGACATAGGTGGTCACCTGAAACGAAAACACCTGTCTTACGTGGTTTCCCCGTAGTTTCTGGGAGCACAGTCAGTCCCACCTCAGTTGTTCAGGATGGAGCTGAACTTTATCATGTTATAAAGTTCTTATGGTTCTCAGATGATGAAGTAGGAGCAGTTTGATCTCTGAGAACTGGAAAGTGGATGGTAAAGTCCTCTTATGCTGCATATGCTGGATACGTTTCTTAAGACTCTTTTTGTTTATCTAGGTATGTAAGCTGAAAACCTACAAAGTTCCCATACAAAAAAACATATGGAGGGATAGTAGTCACAGTGGGCCAGTTGTATGCTACCTAGATGAATGTATTTGGTAGTCACATTATAAAAAAAAAAATAAAAAATCAAGCTTTGCTGAGAGTCACTTACAAAGCAGACAACAGACCAAGTAATGCAGTACAGTTTTTGTATTGAGTATTTTCCAAAATTTCTTTTACACAGTAACTGTACTGAGAACAGACTCTGTTCTCTTTGACCAGGCTATGTCGGCCTGATAAGAAGGTAACTGCAAGATTTGATACCCACTTCAAGACTTGGCAGGCATACTGGAAGCACATTTTGAAAGTTTAATCTATTTTACAAATTAATTTGATGCTAATAGACTTTTAAAGTGAGTTGGTTTTGTGGATTCACTTGCTAGACACACTTGGCTCAGTTTTGCAGTCTTTCGTAGAAGAGTTGGACCAGCTATTACTAAGCCTCTGCTGCTGCTCTTTTCCTGCTGGATCCTAGATACATGTGAGAGTGTCCTGAGCAGCCCCATGGTTGCTCTCAGGTAGGCAGTAACAACTTTGTGCTCACCTAGAGTCTGAAATTCTGACTGTATTAAATACAGAAACACAGCACAAGCTGGTCTTGTGTTTTGGTTTCTGTTCAGTATTTTAGGGGGGGAGGAGGAGGGTATGAGATAAAAACATGATTCCATTTATGGACAGTCTCTTGCTGCTGGGATGCTGCTTCTTGCTGTTTAATTTTTCTTCATTGTGCCTCAGCCATCCACTGAAGTTCACTGAGGTGCCACATTAGCGGTTTCTCATGCTCATTTTGGTTACATTTATCCTCTTACAGAAAAGCACAAGAGAAAAGGTGCTCATTAATGGGGGGTACAGAAGATGCATGTGTTCCTCCTAACAGAAGTAAACAAGCTGTTTACAGTTTAAACTGCTGAATGAGATGTTTGAGCTATTTTAAAGCTTACTTTTTATTTGTTTTAGTACAAACTAAATGAAGGTGAAATACAGGCTATAGAAATGCACTGATATTTCTGCATCATGTACAGTATTGAATAAAAAATAATTCACTTTGTATTTTGAATATTGTCATGTCTTGAGTTTAATAAAGTTATAAAATATTTATGATACATTTTGGATTTTGCTTTATTGAATAGTGTATGCAATTGTGCATTAGAGTTCTGCATTTACTGCAAAGTTCAAAGTCAATAATGTTAAATATACAACAAATGTTGAATTCACCTTGCATTTAATTAGGATTAAGATTTCTGCAGAAGTGTTCAGTAACTCACATTGCACACTGTTCATTTTAATGCCTTGTTACTACCTGCTAGCATGTTGTCTATAGTTTTGTGCTGGCAATAAAACATTCTGTGAGATTAAGTTATCTGGCCTAACATGAATGACTTTGTTTTTTTCTAGAGTCACCCATAGCATGTTAGCCACCATCATACAGAAAAGAGAGGCAAGGAGTGTTCCTGTCTTCAGTTTCTCACCTGGTAAAAAAATAACTAAATTGTACACTAAGGGTCACTGAAGATGAACTGCTTATATTCTGAGGATGAAAAAACTTTGAGTATAGATAGCATGGCTAGAAGGGGAAAGAAATTGTGAATACTTACCACAAAGCAAGCGTATTTCACTGTAGTATGCAAGCCATGGATAAGGTTACTGAAGCTAAAAAGCATCACATAACTTTGATCTTCAAGCTGTGTGTGTAGGTAAATACTTGCCTTGATCTGGCAGTTGCAACATTTCTGTCAGTGGGCTTATTTCAGTATAAAGCAAGTTACCATCCTTGGAATTATACTGGATGGCAAAAATGTCAGATGCAGTTTTTCAGTAATGGTTAATCACTTAGCTTTTATAGCTGGGAAAATTGCTAAGCTCAATTATGAAGGGGCTTAAACACTGTCGTGCTGCAGCACTGCTAAAACATGCAGACTGGCCTTCAAAACATAAACTACCTAATCCTGTGCAAGGCTGTCGATTAGAATACTCAGCCTGCTGAAAGTTCTGTTTTCCATCCAGCCCCCAGATTTTTCTAAGGTGGAAAAAGTAAAATTTGTACTTGTAACCTTCCCCTTAAATATGAGAAGTTTTAACCCTATGACTGTGAAATAACGTACTTCCTCAGTTACACCATCACTGCTACAGCAAACAGATCAACACTGCTCAACTGCACTTATTTTGTTGTAGACTATGAGAGTCAGCACAGACTCAGTAGTTGTCATTCCAGTAGAACTCAGTCTAAACCCAGGCAACTGCTCTGTAAATGTCTCCTAGCTTTTGCCTCTGGCTCCCACTCCATTCCGGGTACTTGAACCCACCCATTTTAGCCAAAACACCTGGTATAAAATGGGATATTTGTTACGAGTTTCTCCAGCCCTGCATGCTAGCACATATTTTCACTTCTGTTAGCAGTAGAGGTTCCCCAAAAAACTGCCAATGTAGCACTAGCAGATTTTTTACTTTATATGCTTCTAAGTACAAGCTGTTTTCATATTTATAGTGCTGAAAAGCTTAAAACCATTATAAAACTTGTGCTTTTGAAGGGTCTTACATAACCTTTTCTGAAATTCCTAAAATGTTGAAGACTTTTAACCTAACCTCCGTTAGTTTTTCTCCTAGAAAAAAGAATTGCATGCTCCTTTCCTGAGAGTTGATATTCTCTACTCAGTCCTGAGGATTAAAAAAAAAAAAAATCTTACCTGTAGCGATGCTTTCTTACCATGTGCTGTGTGTCAGCTGAATTATAGCATGATTTTAAGGCTCATTTCAGAAGTTAAGCGAGAAACTACTTTTAGTGCAACTGAAGTAAAACAGACTGAACCTGAATTGAGCATAGTAACTGAACTGCTTGGCTATGAGCAGGACATTCAAACAGGTTGCATAGCTCACATACCTCTTGTGTAAAAGGAAAGTAACTTATAGGCAAGTCTTATACTATTTAAGCTACTTGGCCATTTAATCTTTAAAAATCCATAATAATAAGGTCTCATTGAGGACTTGGTCCACAATTCAGTAGTTCTCTCTGCGTGACACTAAGGGGGTCACTGACAAAGGCAGGTAGAAGCCTTCCTCAGCTATTCTTAAGACACCAGACTCTTGTGCATTAGGGAACAAAGTCTGCATGACCCAAAAACTGTTTTTTGTTTTCCAAGTGAGTAATTAAGGCTGTAGAGCTGTAGGGGAAGCTTTGCAAGTTCTGGCCAGAAGACAATTTCTCTGCTTGTCCCCTGGCACATGATAAGACTTGTCAGGACACAGCATACTTTTGCAACAGTCTGCTCATGTTTGAATATTCGGAGTTTGGGCTCACCAAACTCTGGTTTGGGCAAGGCCTGACAGCTTTGCCTCTGAGGACAAAGACCCCTGCCAGCTAGATTTGCCTGGAATAATCACACTTCAAAAGTTACAACTTGATAAACTGAAGTTTGGGGAGTCAAGGAATTTGTGTTAAAGCAGGGAAATAAAATGTGCATCTGTGGAAAAGCAATGCTTGTCACAGCCTCTTGATTCAAGAAGCAGGCTATACATACTGCTCACCCTGCCCTCAGCAGCCTTGTTGAGAACCACCTGGCCATGTTCATGGGGGCTCCTGGGTCCCAGGAGGCAGCAGCTGTGCTGAGGCAAAGGGGGTTGTACTGCAGTGAACTCCAAAGGACTCGATCCAGGGCAGCCCCACAGTGAACCCGAGTGCTGCTTGGCTGCTCTGGTGTTGGCAGAACACCCCTCACTTGGTGAGTTTCAGACTAGCAAATCAACCTAGAGAAGCGGAGTCCAGCTGTAACTAAAGGACAGGATGTTTGCCTCAGTATACCTTTTCCTGAAAGGAGGAGGCTGCATTAGTACCAGGTGACTTGAAAAACCCGTTACCTTAACTTCACCATATTAACTTGCTCTTAAACAGATAAAGCGACTAAACAGAGCTGTAGCTGATCATCAGCTGCTTTTGCATTGTAAGAGAGAAACCAGAAATTAAACCCTATTTGGAAGCATGCAGATTGAAAACATAATTAAATCTGCAGTGATTTAAAATTACTGATTGTTGCTGCTGTCACTAAGAGTTTTCCATTCAATCCCAGACTGCAATAGGCACAATTACTACCATTACGAAACTGTAGAAGAGCACCCACCAAGACTATATTTGCTCTGTTGCAGCCTTAGTTTAGTTTTTAAACAGTCTTAGTGAAGTGTTAAGTTTGACATGATAAAGGAAAGCATCATTCTAGTGCAGGACAAAGACACCAATTTTATAAGGGCAGTTATTATAGTAGGCAGTAGTTGCTGATGGTATTCAGCCCAAGTCTTGTCAGGAATTCAAGGTTAAGGTGATGGCCAGATCAGTCACGGTGGAATTCCCACCCTTCAAATTCATGATTACAGACTGTGGCCCTTATAAACACTTTTAATATAATTGCAAGTGTATGCTAAATACATACTCTCTAGATTATGTCAAGAAGGAAATTGGAGATGGAGGTAAACCCTCATTTTATCTGCTTGTAGGCTCTGTATAGTTAAGTAACCTATTCATTTTCTTTGTGTGTACTGAGTGTTCCTGGAGTAAACTTTTGTTTTTAGAGTAGTTTAATCTTTTAATTTCCTGTTAGCTTTCTTCCAAAGTAGTTTATTTTCATTTAAAATCAAAAACATAGAGCATATTTTGCATTTCACATAGCTCTTTGGCACTGAAAATCTAGCACACGAAGTTTAATTATTAATATTTTTTAAATAGCACTGCAGAGATTTCTGGCTGCTGAGCTTGTGATTAGCATTTGTAAACTAGAAGAGGTGTTATCCCCACCCATCCTGCATCATAATTCAGGCTTTGCATAATCCCTGCCCAAATGCCTATTTTCATCCACAGAGCTCATTATTTTTTTCTGAATCATAAATGGAAGCCACACCTGTGACTGGTCATAGACTGTTGCTATATTATTTATATACTGGGGTGCACCCTCATCCCAGCTGTGGTTAATTCTGGAAAAGGTGTTAGGTATTCCAAATTTTAAGTGTCATGCCACTGAAACATGGGAAACAGGAATACTATTCATTTCCTTGCAGTGTGATTCAGAGATGCTTCTATGTTGAAAAGCTGCAGCTTCTTGCTGAAGATTAAAACTATTGTCCACAAATTATTAGCATGTGAAAGCCACAAAGGAAGAAAAGCGCAAATATACTGCCATGAAAAACCATGGCAGATTACCCCACCATCACCACCCTGAATCTGCTTGAGGATGCTAGTAACTAGTCACACTGAGCTATCATAATAACACACGAAGAGGCCCTCCATGCGCAAACTCTGGATCAAGCACAGAATCAGGCCTGACCCAGAAGAATGCTCTCCTGCTCGTCACCTACCCAGCTGACAGATACACGTTCCCTTTATCTGTAATATTTATTTTACTTTTGTTAATATGTTTATTATTCACAAGGGCAGTGTCAGCACTACTGCATGCCCCTTTGGAAGGCAACCGGAACACACAACCAACGCTGTACAGTGATCAGTCTTTAGGCGTAAGACTCTTGGGGCACTTACCAGCTTCCAGGAAGTTCACACTAAGGACCATATCAGCTTATGCCATGTTGAGTCCAACTGCTGCACGGCAAGGTGCAAGGGAGACACAAGCGAACAGCAAGTGGGCCTTTGCAAGGTTACTCATTGCCTTGCAATGCCTGTATTGTCATTTACTAGCTGTTAGGCAAGATCCAGAGGAAACATGAGACTCCAGCCATACTAGGCTGCACTTGGTGACTTCATTTGTCACATGTCCTGTTGACTACTTATTCAAGAAAAGTTTTCCTGCATCCCCGTGGCACACCCCAGCACTTGAGAGTTTAAGAAATTTGAATTGGGACTGTGCTGTTGGGATGCAGGATGTACATAGCACCAGCACAGCAGTAGGCATGTAGTGATGCAGAGGCCTCCAACAACCCAGGACAGAGATTACAGCACACACCCTGACACATTTTGGTGCTCATGGGATTCAAATACCCTAAACTGCTTTTGCTAGTGGGAAGTAGGGTTGTGCTTCCAGAGTATCTTCTCAACATGCTGAAAAAACCCAACAAACTGAAGTTGTTGCTTTGTTAAAAGCCAGAGGGACAGACAGCCCCATCTGTTCTTGCTACAGGCAATCAGCACAGAACTGGCAGTGGCTGGGGAACATCACCCTTGGCGCCTGGCAGTAAGTCTTATCTTCCTTTTTTTTTTAAATTATGTTAAAGTTGTTAGTGCTCTGTAGTTCTCCAAAGAGGAAGGAGGGAAAGAAAAAAAAAGGCTGCTGTTTTATATTAAAGTATTTCTGGAAGCCTAAAAACAATACAAGCATGGAAATATTTTCCTTCTAATTCCACAAAGCAGTAGTGCAGCCCAGGAATGCAGAGTTTTTCCTGTATTCTGAATCATGCTCGTTTACAAAGTAATTATTCCAGTATCTAGGACAAAGAATCTTTCCATCATTTCGTTTACATTTGCACAGCAATACCAGTTAGACATGCAGATTTACCACACAAACATGTCCAATCTTACATAGATTACAATTTTTTGCATATCTTGGGCATATTTAAAAGCTAAAGAAACATATGAAGTATTTCCTAAACAAATTAAGAAGCAGAGCATACAGTTGAAGCAGTTCTTCCAGTAGATATTAACAACATAGAGACATTTTTGAATTCTAAATTTGCAAAAGTATCCATGTATTTTATTACTAAAATGCAGTAGTTGAGAATGAACTTGTTTCCCATTAAAATAAGCAATCATAAAGGCTCCTATGCAGCAATTTTCTGAAGTTCAGATTATGCACTTCAGAGCCAGATCTCCAGATGCTGCGGTAACTTCAGAGTCCAATGAGGGGCCATTATGTAAAGCATGACTGCTGACAGAGCCAGGTAACAGCAGAATTATTTGGTAAAAGAAAGGTAGCAAAGACAAAAAGCGGTGCCAGATTCTTAATGCCCATGGGAATACAGCCCCACTACTTCTTTCCAGAGATATGCCCTGCAACTCCTCTAAACTGACATATGCTCACTTAAGCTAGGCTTGTAGCAAGTCCCGATTTATAGTAAGCAGAAAGAAGCACTGCTACTGGCGGTATGCTGCCAAATCCAACCTTTCTGCTTTATGCTGACTATTAGCTGCCCAAGTAGCTCAATGGATCTGCCATCATTTTATGCAGATGACAAATTTCAAGGTATCATGTTCAACCTGCAGGAACTCTTAAGGTGCTTGGCAAGGTACGAATATTCACAGTTTTTATTTAGTTTCACACTGTTTTAGAATTAATACTAGTTATTTGCCTTATTTGTACAGAAAAAACTACACAATGTTTTAACCCATTCTAAGTTACAACTTAATAATCTATGTCATGGAATATCCTGAGTTGGAAGAGACTAACAAAGGTCATCAAAGCCAACTCCTGACTCCACAGAGGGCAACCTAAAAGTTAAACCATATAATGGAGAAGCGTTGTCCAAATGCTTCTTGAACAATGATAGGCCTGGGGCCATGACCCCCCTCCCTAGGGAGCTTGTTCCAGTGCTCATTTCAGCTCACACTGTGCAAGAATCTAAACAGATGTAGTTTTCATAGGTCTGGGTTGGGAGAAAACACACAAAGTACCAACACACCTGCAGGGCTGCTTCATTTTTATTTACTCAGCAAACATTTTTTCCATGTGATTTTTAAATGCCATCCAAGAGCTAACTAAGATTATTAGATGCTGGCTACTTTTTTGTGATGAAGCTTTTTGCGAACTATCTTTTTCCAGAGATAAAGACCTTTGGTTTGTTACAGTATCCCAGTTAAGATAAGTACAGTTCCTAATTTCACCCAAAATTAAACTGTATTTACAACAGTGCAGCTTACAGTTACTCTACAGAGAACAAGACTCTCTATCCAAATTTTGTCTTACTTCCTGTCCCACACTAGGGTTTCACTCTTTCAGTATTAGAGGTGCCTTCACCTGTTCGGCCACTTCCTTCCCCATCAGCGTTTCAACAATTGCCAATCCAAACTCAAAGCTGGTCCCAGGCCCGCGGCTGGTGAGGATATTCCCATCTTTCTCCACGCGGCTCTCAGAGTAGCTGTAGTGTGCTGGCGGGGACACACAACAGAACATCACAGAAAGAGTCAGTCTCCAGGACAGTGCCCAGAGCTGCCACACAGCACAGACTCACCTGCCTCAGGCTCTGCTGAGGAGCAGAGGTCATCTGCCAAAGGCACCTCAGCCACCTGTGTGGGCCCAGCCTGCCTCCAAGTGTCCCATGACTGCCTGTAGTCCTCAGGGAAGGGCCCACAGGGAGCTCTGGTAGCTCCATTCACATAGTATGAGAATGCACCTCTGATTCTACAAGCTCATTAAGAAGCGCTCGCTCTCCCTGTCAGTTCCTGTGAGTTTACTTTTGGAAGTCAGACTACTTTTGTGGAGCTATTCACAAATTTCTTTTCTGCCAATTACACGCAGAAGAAATTGGAGAAACCCTGCCATCTCCTGCTCATGTTCAGACTCATTAATGTTCACAGAATGACTTCTTCATAGCATTTCACCACCACTTCCCTTAGGCAGGAGAAAGAAGGCAGCAAAGAACCAAAAGGACAAGAGATGGCTCAGCCTCGAGAAGATAAATGCTCCTAGCATGACAGCAGCAGCATATTTTCCCCAAGGATGAGAATGTTAATACAGCTCTGTGTCTTAAATAGGCGAAACAGGCTTAGAAATACAGTCTAAGCATATTCAGTTGAATTTTGATTATATTCAAGAAAGCATTAAGGAAATTCAGAGAGACAACGTAAGATAAAAAAGCCATCTTCCTTTCTTTAAATTGTGGTTTCAGGTAAACAAAAAAAAAAATCTAAGAAGGGTTTGGAGAGAAACTTATAAAAGTCATTACATACCTCCATTCATCATTTTATCTTTGGCCAAAGGATGTGTTGTGACTTTGCTTCCAAACCCTATCCCATGTGCCAGAAGGGCAGTAGGACCTGTAAGGACAAAAAGTTGCACAAGTGAGGAACTGTCTTCTGCTATTAACACTTCTAAGAATATATTAGGCATTAGGCTCTCAAGGGTCCAAAGCTTACTGTGGACAGACTACTTTTTATAAAAAGTGATGCCAGCCCCATCTCTGAAGCAAAAAGCCTCAGAAAGAACTGACCTGTATAATCTCTTGCATTCAATTACAGCTCCCACACTGTCCTACCATGACTGCTCTGCCTTGGAACGAGTGGAGGACAATGGTCATTTCACTTCCACATAATACATTTTATTTAAATGTATTACTGACACTAATGCTTGACACTAAGAAACAAAAGGTCTGCATTTCAATCTGAACATTACTTAGCTACAATTACTTTACAACCTTGTTAAACCTTGACTTCAGAGACCTTTAGAGGTAGAACTTCATTTGAGCAATTCTCTATGGGTTGCAAGTGTGTGCCAAACAGTATTTTGGACAGACCATTGGCTAACTGTTAAGTTTTTTGTTTTAACAGTTTTCCTCTTTTCTCTTCATACCTCCTTCTTAGCCTGAATGAATTTGTGTCAAGAAGTGTTAAGTCATCTGACAGGAAATTCTTATGGGAATTCCAAAATGAAGGCAAGATTTCCCTAATCTTTGTGTTTCATTTCTGTGCATTTGTCTCATTTTGGATTTAGTCCAGGAAATAACCTCCTTTGTGCTCATCTGGAATCAGCTCTAAGAATATTATACCTAAATAAATTAACGACCCTGATTACAAGCAAAAACTTTTATTGGGCAACCATGAATTTGGACTGTTCTGTAAGAGATACAGATAAGAGAAGACTATCACTGCCAAGTACAAGAATATTCACAACTCCACATACCTATCACCTCACTGAAGAATGAAAGCAAAAAAAGCCCAGCAACGTACCAGAAAATGAAAATCCACTCTACAAACATACTCAGTTAGATGGCCCTTTATGCACTCATTGCCACTCTCCTCATCCTCAGCTTTGGGTCCTAGGCAGCCTCTCAGATCAGCTGGAAGTACTGGCAATTGTTCATCTTGCTTTTTTACATACAAACCTTACAAAGTAATGACCTGGATACCCAGCTGTGCAGAATGTGTAAGCAGACAACCCTCTCTTCAAACCAAGTCCATCTTTTGCTATGACTCAGATGAGGAAGGGTGAGACTGTAACTCTATATGTATGGCCTCCTTTCTGAAGCTAAAGGGCAGGAATAGTTACGTGAGAGAAATTTATAGCAATGATGTTCTGCCAGTGCTGTGTCCTTGCAGAAAGATCATCAGAATAGGCATATATTTTGTAAAAAAATCATAGCACATTACCTTTCACTTTTTATGTTAAAGACAGTAATGCAGCTGATTGGAAAGAACTGGATACCAAGCAAAACTTGCAGGATAAGTGTTCACAATTATTTTAGAGATTTCTCTGCTATTAAATTTATAAAAAATTCCGATGCTGATGGGTGCACATATAGTACAAATCCCTGCTACTAAATTACAGGAACATAAATTTCTAAGACAGGAAAATGTCTGCATGCTCCTTCAAAATATCCGAATGCTTTATAAAGCAAGACACCTTGATAACCCACCTGCACATATAGCAGCAATCAGGCCTTTTCTGCTTTCCTGATCCTTCAAAATGTCTTTCACAGCAGCAGACTGTATGAAGAAATGTGATATCACAAGTCATTGTTTGGAATTTGGAATTTGACGTGCGGCTGAAATATTTTCCCTTGCAAAGTCATAAACATGTTTTACACAGAAAACCAACTGACATCTCTTCACTCTGCCTCAAAAAAGAACCAAGGCAATGAGAACATTAAGAAGGAGAAAAACTGAAACTAATACATACTTGCCCCACAAGGAAAGAGCAAGGAAATCAGAAGGAACTGCAAGGAAGTACCTGGCCCACGTAAAAGTTGCTTAACCCATGGACATAGAAATTTGTTTGAAAGCTTCACAAGACAAACTGGAAATAGTATTCATAAAATACCTCCAGACAGTCTCTATAATTCTTTAGAAGATTTATGTGGAATATTTGTCTCATATTCCAGGGTTTACAAACTGTGTAATCTAAATCCTATCTGACAGACTGACTTGTTTGTCTGCCTGCATTCCACAAGGTATTTATACCACCACTGCAACAGCTTTGCACCACAGACAGAATTCTTGAGCAAAGGAAGAGAGTCCATGGCTCTGGACAATTACATATCTCATGGAATTCAAAATTCATTTGCAACTGCTTCATCTTCATATGAGTATGAACAGAGATCTACCCACAACACAGAGCACCCTTCCATTTTTATTCTCCTTTACTAGGTATTCAAATGCAAGAATTTACCCAGTTGTCCCACCTATATAGTCACAAGACGGCTTCAGACAACTGAGTTTACTCATTCATTCAGAAGAGAACTTTCAGATGCTGAACTGAATCTGCAGAATTACTAAGCAAGCGCAGACCACCACTACTCATGAAGATGCCCATGAATTTTTAAAATACCAGAATTTTACCTCACACAAGTTTTGAGCTCCAAGATTACCGCCAGGCAGGACCACAACATCGTAAGGCCCCTAGACAAACAAAAAACTGTTCTGTTGAACAGAGACTGATACATATGTTATACGGTTTGAAACCCACTACAGCTGTTTCAAGTGACAAGCAAAATAACCTTTTCTTCCACTGAACAACACTTTATGATCAGAGAACCAGTTCCAATTACAGAATACTGTTTCCTGTTCCAGGAAGAACGTATTATTGATAAAGTCTGCTACTGAACTAACTCTTAAGCCTAGTGCATTTAAGAGCTTCAGCAAGCAAATACATTGTAAAGAAAAGTGCTTTTGCTCCAACCTTACTGTACTGGTCTAACTATAACATCGTTAAGCTTCTCATGAGAACTTTGGAGTTGATTCAAATCACGGTATTTCATTGGGCCAACTAATAGAAAAAATAAAGCTCTATGATTGCTGCTTTGCAGAAACAAACACCTGTGCAGAATTAAGAGATCTGTCTGAACTGAGCATACTGTGAACCAGGACAACACTGAAGGGGAGCACAGTGGTATATGCAGTTCTGTAATTAACTACTGCCTAGAGCTAACACAACACGCAACATATGCCTAAAGGTAATGCACAGGCTTTCCAAATTAACCTCGGAAACTGTGAGAAAGGCTATGTTGGCCATTATATTAAATCAGGGTGATGACCAACCTCTTTTCTGGCATCTTCAAGACTAGCATCAGGACAGATGAAGACATCTCGACTGCACTGCACTGGTTCTTTTCCTGTTAGACCTGCAACAGTCACCTTTATCTAGGAAAAGAACAAATATGACAAATCAAGAATTTAAGGTGTTTTTCTTCTATGTTAGTTCTTCAATAGTACACAGAATGAGCAAAGCACTACTGAAACCTGTCATGACTGGGGAACAGTTAAGCTCCTGCAAACCATGATTAAGTCCAAACACACACGGTAAGCACTGATATTCACCTGAAGTAGACAAAACCCTCTAACAGGTCAACTTTTCAAACAGCACATATAGAGACTATCTGATCCCACAGGCTATAAACAAAACAAATAATACAAAGCAGGAGAGCCAGACTGAGTAGATCAGATAATGAACTAAAGTCTCTTTGCAGGCTCAAGTCATTCTCAAACACATGGCATGTTCACTTTCCTCCCTTGACTTTTAGATGCCTGGTCATAACATCATAGATATGCATGGCACAGCTCACATTCACTAAAGCAGACAAGCTTGTTCCTCTTATGACAGCCAAAATGGGGAGTACAGTGATGAGGTGATGGGAGAAGTTTAGTTATTTCTACACAAGTGAAGTTGGTGTACTTATTTAAAATATTATTTTCATACCTACTGAGATGTACTACTACAGCTGCAAGGTAACAAACAGCATAAGGAATCGCAACAGCCAAATTCTACTTAATAACAGAATTTTAAAAGTAGGTCAGGAAAAGCTACATAATGTCATGAGCTGTAATGTACCGAGCTTTTCAGACTCCTAGAAAAAAAGTACTTTCTGTTACTGTGCATGGAAGTAGCCATGTTTTCCCACAGAGTAAGATTTACTTGAAACATTCGCTCTAGTCCACACTGGACTCTTATTTTGAAAGTCTGCCTTTTGCACAAATGTCAGCTGTCAAGCATACTTAGTAGGGGCACGGCACAAGTATTTGCTATATGGTAAGGTGAGAGGGGAAATTTTCACGTCACATAACAAATTACACACTGAACTCCTAGCAATGAACATCAACTTGAGGCAAAGATTTCCCCTTAACCACACACTCACAAGGCAATTTTTCATTGTCTGCACACTCACCCCAGCTCTTCTCATAACATCAGTAGGGATTACAGTTTCCATTTCCTCTGCCCCTTTTGCTAAAATCACCAATGCTCTTTTTGAGGCCATATCTTGAGGGGTTGCTATTAGCTGAGATGGTTGTGAATGGAGGGGCTGAGAAGGGTAGAAAGAGACAATGTAGTTAGAAAGCAAATGTCCTAGTACAACCCTAGTACAAATCCTTCCTGATGCTGAAACTTAACAGTGAGTTATTTCCATTTTTGCATTATCTTTCATTTAAACCACCTCAAAATGGTTCACTGGCTTTAATCAATATTCACAGCAGTCCTGTTTAACTAAAGAGCTTTTTAAAAAAAATGCATTATGATATTAAGAGATTAAGACACATGTGCAGTGGGATGTGAGTGATGTGAGTGCAGCACATCAGCATCAGACAAGGAAACAGCTTGGCCTAATCAAGACCTTATATGACCTGTGTCTGCCAGAGAAAGGTTCAAGGTGGGTGGCAGAATTGTTTTAAATTTGCACACCCTCAGTCACACTGAGACTACTGACTCCTACCCAGGTCAGCATATATAAAAAGAGCTTGCATGAGCTTTGACCCCATGTCTGGTATTTAGTTTCCACACACCATGCCTCATGAAGAGTTTCCTGTGACTTATAATGACTTGACCACTGCTCCTGTAAAACCTCAGAAATAGATTTTCTGGTTATTTCACAATTTTATGGGGGAAGAAATGTGTGTGCACACGTGTGAGGGGGGAGCAGACCACAGAATTTAGCAAATGGAACAAACCAGGCTTAACACTTGTTTTTTTTAGCTTCTAAATTCAAGTTGAGGTGAAGGGACAACTTTCCATTTGAAGGTTAAGTTAAAGAAACTTTACATCATGTAAAATACCCACAAACTCATACTGGTCTGACAGAAGTCTGAGAAAGCATCGGTGATGGTAAGAAGGCATTTCACAGGTCACCCCTCTAGAAGACAGATTTTTGTCTTATATAGGGACCTTCCATTCAGAAATGCATGTAGCACCTGAGAGCTCTTCATTAAATGTGATGCACATTTTAGTTGCCTACACGAAAGAAAACCATCCTCTCACCCTGCTTCAATTCCATCTGTTTTCAGGTTTACTCCCTACTGTTAGCCTCATTTAGATGTCATTTCTAGAATGCAGTCATATACAGTAGAAAACCCTGCAGCATGCAGAACCAGCCCAAGCAGACAAATTCACTGTGTCAAATCCTACTTTTATGTACTTTATGTACTGTCAATGCAAAGCTAACTGAGCAAGTACACTCAAATCACAAGTATTAGCAATAACTTTAGAACAACCCAGAGCTTCTTAATAACTTGTCCTGAAGGTACACATCGATTTTGCAAAATAATTTCCATATAAATTTGACCAATTAGCAAAAGACTCCCTGATTAGCCACAACACAGAAATAGTGCATTTGCTTTTTACTGAAGAAAAATACATCATAGTTTGTATCCCTTTATTTCATTAGATGCAAATAGGCACCTTATCCTGAAACCTTTAGTCTTTCCTCTAATTTATCAAAATGCAGTCTCTCCCTACTGCCTTTAGACATTTATTGTAAAACACTGCCAAATTCTTGAACTATAGTACTGTTCTTCATATAAGTGCATATGTAAAGAGCTGCCCTACTGTAAATGCTACCAGGGAACAACTGTTCTTGAGAAGGCAGAACCACGTTACATAGACCTAATAGCCAACTCATTTAACAAGCTACCTACACATAGTAAATACCAGTCTTCCATGTGCTCCTCAGTGCTAGCACACGAACAGCACATGCCTCGAACCCATCAGCGAACGTATTTCCCTGCGTGGGTACATGTGCCTTTCGGAGATGGTGGCTTGTGGCACATGGCTGAATCAGAAACTCTAAGAAGGCTGCCTTTAAAAAAAATCACACCCTTCAAGGCCCCGACCAAAGAGCCTGCTAACAGAGGCAGGGGAGAGTTTACGGCTCATCAGCTCCGCCAGCCGCATAGAAGGCCATGTCCCTACACACTGGTCTGTTTATTCTGGGACGCGGCGCCATTCGACGCAGAAGGGCCGGCAGAAGGCCGCGAGCGGCGGGGCTGGGCACGGCGGAGGAGGTCGGGCCTGCTCGGCCTGCCCGGCTGCCAGAGCGGGGCCACCTCAAAGGGCCGCTGAGCGCCCCCCACCCTCTCCACAGGCGGCCCCGAGTCCACCCGCTCCGCCCGCCGCCTTCCCGGGGCTCCTCTGGGGGCTCCTCCAGCCGGACCCGCAACGCGACCGCAGCAGCAGCAGCCACAACTCACCTCAGCCGGGGCGCGGGCGGCTCTGAGAGACCCCGCCCCGGCCCCCCCTACGCTGTGCCCGCGCTCCCGCCGCGGCGCCTCCCCCCTTCTCGCCCGCCCTCTTGTTGCGTTTCCAGCACGCTCCGCTTTTCTCACGGTCATCCAGGTAGCAGCTTCAGAGAGCGCTCCGACGCTCACCACTGTAACAGCGTCACCCTCCTACGGCAGCGCGACCGCGAGGTACGTGCCCGCGACCCGAGCTGCTGCTTTCTCGAGCAGCCCCGCATGGACAGCGCAGGACCGAGCCACTGCTCTTCTCCGGGCTCTATCCGAAACGTCCAGCCGAAATACTACTGTTTCCTGAGGCTCACGGCACACGGGAAATGCCCAAGGACGATGTTGCCTCTGGTTTTAAGAAGTTTCAGTATTTTGAAGGACAGAGCTGCTAACGGAGCCCTTTAGCTGCAGAGCCCTGTTGTGTAAAAACCCTTGCTCACAGGTGCTGGCAAACGCGCTCTGGCTCCCTGGTGCTGGGCTCACGAGAGCTCCGGCAGAGCAGCCCAAGTCCAGGTCACGCACAGGAGAGCAGGTCACAGGGAAAGACTTTACTGGAGGCTCTCCTGGAATGGGTGCGGGCTTCAGCTCCCGGCACAGGACGGTTTGTGTGCTGCCCACAGGGCTCCGCTGGGAACCCTCGACAGGCTGGTCCTTGCTCTGTCCGCCTGTGTGCCAGGGGCGCACACACCGGAGGCGCGTTCGCTTGTCAGTTACAACGCACTCTGAACAACTTCCACGTCCACTCTTCCCCAGCCCTGCGCGCACCGCCCGTTGCGCTCCGGCCCCCGGGCCAGGGCCAGCGCCAGCGCCGGGGATTGGCCGCGGGGAGCCGCAGAGGGCGGGGCTGTGCTTGGACCCTGCGGCGTTGCAGCGTTTCACTCGCGGCTGCACTTCCGCGCCCCGGGCAGGTCCGCGAGGGGGGCGGGACTTGCTGTCAGACCGCGGTGCTCGGTTGTTCCCGCGATTTCATAGCCATGTGGTTTCAGACGCGGTGTCTCCGCTCACTGTTGCGGTCTGCCCCCGCCGCGCCCCGCCTCCCTCACCCTCCACCTCGTGGGGATTCCGCGCGGGACTCGCCGGGAAGTCTCAGTGGGGGAGGGCGAGCGCTGCCTGGCAGCGCTGAGAGGGCTTTGCGGGCGCTGCCCGGCAGAGCCTGGGGGTCGCGCCACGGGTGGAATCCGGAAAGCCCCCGCCAGGCCTGGGCTTCCCCGCCGCCCCCGGGATGACGCAGCCAACCCCTCCGGGGGCGGCCGCTAAGGGCCGGTGCCCGGCGCCCAGCGCGCACTCCTGCGAGCCGCGCCGCCACGCACCGACCTATGGCACTGGCAGCGGAACGGGCGGGACGGGTGCTCCTGCCGGCCGCGCTGCTGGCGCTGGCGCTGAGCCCGGGGCCCGTGGCCGCGCTGCCGTGCGTAGCCGACTGCCCGGCGGGTAAGGGCCAAGCCGGGCTGGGGCTCGGGACGCCGGGCGCGGCCCCACGGCAACCACCACTGTGTCTGGACCCCCAGGTACGTTCGTGGAGAGCGTGGGCTGCGGGCGGGGCGCGGGCGCGTCCTGCCGGCAGTGCCCGGCCGGCACCTTCTCCAGCGCGGCGGGACGCAGCTCCTGCAAACTCTGTCGGAAGTGCGAAGGTACTGGCAGCCCCTCTGTGACATCCCGTAGCAACGACATGCTCTGGCTAGCACTTGCGCGCTGGGGGATACGCCACTGGCTAAATCCACGCGTCTGCGGGGCTTCTCGCTGAAGCCACCAGCCTGATTTTTGTAAGAGCAAAGGTCCCGAGCCTTTGCTGCATCACGCTGGGCATGCACGAATCTGTAACCTAAGACTCGTTTTCTCCTTCCAGGAATATTCAGGTATTTAAAAGCGTGTTCCTCACAAAGTGATGCTGAATGCACGTGCGAGGATGGGTATCGCTGCAGTGGCGATGGCTGTACCCACTGCGACCGAAGCTGTGGCATAGGCCAAGAGAGCACCAGCAACGGTAAGGTTACCTTTGCCCACCAGCTGAAAGCCCCTGTGCGTACTGCACTAGACACGTGTACTGCACGGCCTCTTGCATAATGCAGAAGCAGCTGAAGTAAAGATAAGAGGTGCCGATGCTGCTGAACAGTTTGCATGGAATGCGGAGCAAGCACAGCAGTGGGCAAACCCACCAAACTCTGAGCCCTACTGTGGCTCAAATCCTGCACCAGTTAGTTTCCTTGGCATGACAGCTCTTTTGTTACTGGCATGAGGAAGACCAGGCTGGGATCTTTGGACTTGGATGTGATTTGTGGCATCTTGTGCCAAATAACCTGGCTTTGTAGCTGAGTACTGTACTGGTCTGTGGCTCACAATGAAAGACTTATCTTGCATACTCAGAGCAGCTTATGAAATAGTAATTATGTGAATGTTGATTATTGTCATTGTACAAGCAGGCAAAAATAATGTTTCACATGTTGTGTTTTAAATGTTTATCTTGTACAAATTTACCTGTCCTTGTCTGTTTAAGGTTGCCAGACTTGCCAGTATGGAACTTTTAATGATCAGCCCAATGGTTCCTGTAAAAACTGGACAAAGTACGTAATCTAAAAATAAATGCTACAGCTATTAAACTTCACTGGATGTTTTTCTCTAGTTTTTTTTCTTTTCCCTGTTCTGCTGTAAATGTCTTTCAGGTGCTCTGCAAACCAAGTCCTGGAGCCTGGAACTGCAGCAAAAGATGTCATTTGCAAACATGCTTCAGTTAATCCCACTTTAGTCACTACTCTACCTACCACATCGCTTGCAATTCCATTTTCTATCACCGTGCCAGGTGAGGCATTGTATAATGCTGCTTATAGAGCTAAAGAATTGTGACCTACTTTGAAACATACTATAACTCATTCACTTTCCATTTAAAGCAAGAGTCCTTTCTTCTATGCATTTCCAGTGTTGCAGACTTAGCCAGAAGCAGAGTGTGAGACAAAGCTGTTGGCTAATTCAAGGGCACTAGAATTTTTTTCCGTTAAAACTCTTAAGCGAATGTTGTTTACTTCCTAGGGAAGGATCTCCAGACAGACATTATCAGGATTCTTCTCACTGTAGCTGGGCTGTTGTGCATAGTGTTCCTGCTACCGTGTATATGCTTCAGTGTCTGGCAGAAAAAGAAACTACATGCTGTCTTCAAAAAAAGTAAGATAAATACACTCTTCAGTTTTCTCTGTGAAACTAGACAGAAATCAGGAATCCAGGTTAAGTGTCTTTCAAAGACAGTTGCAATAGTTTCAGGGTTTTTGGCCTTGTAAGTCAGAAACAACAATTGAAAGGAAAACAGTTTTGAATTTTTATTGCAGAAGGCACTTACTTAACTGTGGGTGTTCTGTCAACTGCTTCCTTATCCCTTCAAGTGAAGTATTTGTGGGAGGTCAAAAAGCTCACCTGAGCCTTGCTGATCCCGTCAAGGGTCAGTTCAGTTTATTACTTTCAAGTACCGTCCTTGGCATCCATGGCTATAACACTTTCAAGTTCTGTCTGCTTAGAAACAGTACACATGACCTGGAGTGAGGGTCTTGGAGCTCTGGCTGCAGTAGAAGAGGAGATACCAGTCAGGATATGCTGCTACACAGGTGCAGAGGCAACCTGAATCCAACACTGCCCTCTGAGAGCTAATAAATGCTGGGGAAGCTCAAGAGTTCAGCACAAAGACGAAGTGTAAATTGCATTCAATGTAGTTTGTAGTTGGCTTGTTTGTTTTTCTGGAGGGTTGTCTCTCTCTCTCTCTCTCTCCTTCTCCCCTGTCCTAGAGATAAGGTCTTAATCTTCTAGTGTAATTCTGAATACAGGAGACAATAGCAGTCCTCCTTCCTTTCATTGCTATGGCAAACAGAGCCTTAGAGGTCTTGCTGAATTAGGGGAAACAAAGTATGATAAATTAGTTTTATTATATTTATATGCTGCAGAAGAATAATTTCAGATTATAGAATAATTTGGAAGATTCTTTTCTTTCTGATTTCCTGTATTTGTGACTGAGGAATGGTGAAATAAGATGGGGAAAGAGGGCATTTGTCCAGCTCTGGGCCCCTCACTTGAAAAAACAGTGAGGTGCTGGATTGAGTCCAGAGAAGGGCCAATGAAGCTGGGGAAGAGTCTAGAGAGTAAGTCTATGAGGAGTAGCTAAGGGAGTTGAGGGGGCTCATCCTGGAGAAAATGAGGCTCAGGGGGGACCTTCTCACCCTCTACAACTACCTGGAAGGTAGTTGTAGCAAGGTGGCGGTTTGCCTCTTCTCCCAAATAACAAATGACAGGACAAGAGGAAATAGTCTCAAGCTGTGCCAGGGGAGGTTCAGAGATCATGAGGAATTTCTTCATAAAATGGGTTGTTGAAGATTGGAAGGGGCTGCCCAGGGAGGTGGTGTAGTCACTGTCACTAGAGGTGTTCAAGAAACTGGACAAGAAACGTAGTGCCATGGTCTAGTCGACAACGTGGCGTTCGGAAGAGATCGGACTTGATGATCTCAGAGATCTTTTCCAACCTAGTTGATTCTGTGATTGTTTTCTTTTTCTTCAGTGCACACCACACCTGAACAATCAATTCAGGAAGATGACACCTGCAGCTGCCGCTTTCCTGAGGAAGAACAAGGTGAATATCAGGACCGTGGCAAATCCACAGAATTCAGAGATCTTTTGGTGAACTAGAAATTGAACTGTCAAAGTCAACCACATTTGAATTTTCTTTTGGAATACAGAACAAGAACCTGTTTATGTAAATAGAGAGGTTATCAGAATCTGTGAGTGTCAGAGTGCCAAATAGCCCAGCCACTGACAAAAAAGTCCATCTTTTCCATCTCTTAAAAAATAAGAATAAATAAAAAATATCTAATTTGCTGACTTTCTTCCTCTAGGGCTAAGAATCATTCTAAGAAGTGGTTCTTGATTTATGTGTAGAAAGAAGTACAGCACTTAAAAGCTCTAATGGAAGGGCAAAATGGCTTTCTGGTCTCTCATTAATCGTGCTTGAGCCACAATTTACCTGCAGTCCAAAAGTATTTTATGCTAAAAAGACAATCTGTAGCACATAGTAGAGGCACAGGTGACACGGTCTCTTACCATTACCAGCCCTCCTCCTGAGTCTAGAGCTGAACTCCTCCCAAAATTTGGCTCAAACCCAGCAGTCTCAGAGTTTGTGTGCAAATACAGATGGAGCTCATTTCAGATCCCATCAGCCCTAGAAACAGATCCCCTGCCTCACCACTGCACACCTTCTTATATGTCAGGGAGAGGAAGCCATAAAAATCTACAGCTGCAAAGTGTTCCATAGCTTGCATCTGCTGTTGTATTACACTGATTGGCTTAAGGGAGGCAGTGGAAACACTGAGAAGCTGTGGTTGACTTGATCTTAGAAATAGCTGTTACTGTGCAGCTGGACCGCACCACCTTCAGCCCTACATCATTCAGCTTTGATCTTTTAGGTGATGTAAACTTTACGTATGTTGCAGCTGTATATGTGATAACTTTCTGGTACTATTTTTGTAACTGAGGTTGGAAAGATTTTAACATCAGATGCTGTCTCTCTGATAAATTACTGTTACTTTGGTCTTAAGAAAAAAGAAAATGCATGTTTGAGTCATGGCATTTGCAACACCATTTTCAACCTTTTACAAAACCCAAGTATTTTATTTCTTCAGTAAATGTTATTTAAAAAATAGACTAAAAAGCCACCAATATGTCACGTAAAGGGTGTTTTCCTCTGTGTGATTTCAGCATAAGGGAACACTGTTCTTGCCTTTGAAGAATGACAGCCCATCTCTCCATTCAGCACAAGATTATGATAGCAGGTTATTTTCACCAAACCACATTCATACATTTTGATAAATTTGTGTACAAATAAATATAAAACAGTGACTTTTATATAGTGAGAAAATAAATATCATACAAAGCCTGAACTGTGAAGTTACTTAAATAAATTCTTTTTAGCTCTAACTCAAGCCTTCTTTCTATTAGTACTTTCAACCATGAGAACTAAGTGACTGTTATGTCAAGATCACAAATTTAAAGACAGGAACAGGATGCATGAAAAGCCACCAATCTATTTATCAATCTAAGATATATCTACTTATAAATCAAAGAGCAACCTTTGCACCAGTGGCCAATATCTGGACAAGATAAAAAGAACAGATAAAGAGATCCAAAACCCCCACACTCTCCATTTATATTATCAGCTTTACAAGCATTCTTAATAATACAGCATTTTCACTTGCTGTGGTACACCTCAGTAAGTGTATTACCTTAGAGACGTAGAGGTGTAAGCATAGGAAATACTTAATGGTTCCCTCAAACTCAGAAGTTCTAGTGAGAGAAAAAGAAGCTGCTGTTCTTTAACATGAGAGTCAAAGGATATAGGAATCTGAAGAGGCAATCCAGTGCATATGGCAGTAACATATTCTTTTGTCATTTCATCTCACTGTGCCCTCATCAGTAGGGTGGGCTATGATCAGAATACTTCTCACATGGAATAGTGAAGCTGTAACATGTAACATTACGTACTTTTCAATAATGCTTAAAAATGCCTCAGGGAATTACAGAACAGGAAACAGATTTACTGTGCTGTGGCAGTACTAATTAGCTGCCCTTATAAAACTTTCTGTACCTTCTTCCAGTCATTCCTAAAGACATCTAAAGAGATCATAGAAATAAAACAGGAATATGGTGGCAGAAACAAGTAGTAAATGAAGGTGGCTTTGGAGGCTTCCTGGATTATCCTACTTCCACATATGATGGTTGGTAATGGATTATTTCCTTCTAAGCATAAATCCTGCTTGTCTTGTAAAAGATTTTTAGAAAAGCTACATGGATGCTGGGATGGGATACTATCTGGTCCAGACTTTGTAAAAACTTCCTCAGGTGAAAAGGCCAAGGATAGAGCTGAGCAGTTACAAAAACCCAGAAATACCTCCCCATCTCCCTCTCTAACTTAAGGAAGGAGGATTGTCACAAGAACTAATGGAGAAATGGACGGAATTAGAGCAGGAATCAGGGAATCATTAGGTTGGAAAAGACCTTTAAGACCATAAATGGCATATAAAAGTTAGTTGGAGGGTTGTTCTTTGCAAAGATTTGCAGCACTTCTTCTCCTGCTCTTATACATCCTTCACCAGAATATAGTTCTTCTGCACATTACAGGAAAGAAGCTGCACATCAAGAACATAAAGAGGAAATATAGGACTGTGCTAGAACAAGCTCACCAGATATTATATCCTTTCTGTGTGATACAGGTCCTAATCCCACTCTGACAAGCAGAAGTGGATTTTTCTTATTTCCAAATTTCTTCTGCAGACTCTGCTCAGAAGTAACCTGTAAGTTGGTACTGTCTGTTACACGCCTTACTCTTAAAAAGACACATACAGAGCTAAAGAGTAAGAGTACCCAACTAAATACAGACTGCTCTTCAGAACTCTCTTACAAATATGCCTCAGGAATTCTTGGAGGAAAGAGGATTTTGCTCCCATTACTTAGTTTCAGCGTAGCAAAAAACATTCAACTTGCCAAATCAGAAGACAAAGATCTGATATCTGCTTCCTTCATCTGTGTTAATTCCTGCTCTTGTTGGTCATTCCCATTCCCAGAGACAGCTTTCCACTCCAGTCAGAATCAGTCAATCATCACAGACAAATCAGTTAATGCTTGCACTGGGAATTCTCTGATAAGATGAAATTCAGCTCTTAAACAGCAAAGGGAAGATTCTACATGGCTGACTGCCATGAAACACACATTCATTTCATTCATTTACAAAATAACCTTGAAAGAACTGCTTTAAACCTACCCAGTGAGACCTATGCCAACTTTCCCTGTTAAATACACATATTTGCCCTGAAATGTGAATCACTGAGCTTGCAGAGATTCCATTTAATTAATAAAACCCTTTGATAGTAAAGGATTAAAGGGATTATGCAGTCACCAAGTAAAAAAATTAAAAGTCTGCTTCTGTGCACCATTCATTTACTGCCTACGCTACGTGGACAGCTAAATGCCAATGATTATTAGCATTCCTCTTTAATTAGTCAGAAGCTCCTGCCCACACACTGAGCTTCAACAGAACTACATGATATTTGTCCTCTGATACCAGTTGTGGATATTAGAGTGATAAGTGATCCTAAGCCTTGTGGTAAAATCAAAAACATGCGTATGCCAATGTGAAAAGCTTGACAGAAAAATAAAAAAAGGCATAACGACATCTCACAAAAATTGTCTTTTTCCATCCCCTCTGTAGATTAAAGCCCTTATCCTCTAGCTTTTTTAGACAAAGAAAAGGGCATAGTCTTTCTTCAAAAATAGCATAATCTTACTAAGTTTCAAATAAAATGGTTTGTAGCAAGAAACTAATGAGGCAGAGCACCATGCAATTAACAGAATATGAAGTATCTCAAGCAGAGAAATATGGAAGATGTCTCTTATGCCTTGTCCATCTCTTGAAATCTGCTGCTTTAGTATTTCTTCACTTCTTCACTTTGGGCTGGAAAAAGTACAAGACAACAGCCTGGCCTGCCCACACCATCACCCAAACTATTAAAAAATGAATCAGCAGGGTATTGCTGCTTCCCTTTTTGACATTAGTAGTACCATTTTTTAAAAAATTGCATTTGAAGCCTTAGGAGACAGAAATGTTGAAATTTCTTTAAATCCACAGCTGAACCAATGCCTGTGTGGGCAGGCTCCAGTAATTTGTTTGGAAAACCCCTCAATAATCTTCTTAAAAAATAATGAATGGTCTAAGAAAGGAACAAGAATGAAAAATGTCCTAGTATGCAGCAGTCATCTAGCGCTGCAACAGGATTACCTTGGTAATTTATTATTACAACCTAAATTAAACCTCAGAAAGTGTGTGTTATTGTTTTGAAAAGAAAAATACAGTATCTACTGCTGATAAAACTGTTGGGAAATGCATTTAGTGCAGTAGCTCGGGGTGTAGCTGCAGTGGAGCTGCAGGCTGAGCTCTGGGTAGTGCAAGCCCAAGACAAGAGGCCATGAACTGGCACCAACCCTTTTGCAACAGACCTGTGGTGCCAGGTGATCACTCGGAGACATAGCAGGAGCCCAGGGCTCAGAAGGAAGAGAGAAGAAAGGTAAAGCAGTAAGTGGAAGGCAACAAGGCGTAAGAAAGGACTAACAAAGGGGCTGCTACATAAAAGCCTCGTGAAGGCCAAAATCCTGCACAAAATGCTTTAGCCATGATTTCAGAGATTTAAACCACATAATAAAGGCAGGTTCTCCAAGCCTCTTAACATGAGAACAACCCTGGACTACTTCTAAAACTTATAAGAGAGCAAAGATGATAGAAGAAGGAAGACAACGGTCAGAGCAAATGAGAAAGCAGACCAGATCATACCACTCTTCATGCAAGACCCATTCCTGAGCAATGAATCTGACTGGTCTGTTTTTCTTTGATCCACAGAGTTGTTTGTGTGGTCTTTAGTAAGCTGAGCCTCTGATACAGTTCCACCACCTGTAAATGATGTTGACTCCTATCAGTGAGGCTACTCAAGAAAAAACAATGCCTAAGGAATACACGGTATATACAAGTACATACTTCTTCCAGAGGGAAAAGCCTCTTGACCGTATTTAATAATTCTTTAAAAAAGCCAGGCGGGAGTCCTTTAGCTGAAAAACGTGTGTGTATGCAAGAAGGCAACAGAAATAAAACCTTTCTCAGAAAATGAAAAAAACCCCAAACCTGACCAAACACAAACACACACCAACCCCCAAAGCACACACACATACTGACCCCTCCGAAACCCAACCAAACACACACACATACTGACCCCCCCGACCCAAACACACCGAGCCGCCAAACACAACCTGTGCCCCCCCGCCGTGCACCCTCCAGTTCCCGCCACACCGCGCAAGGCTCCGCAGCGACCCCTGCCAGCGCGGAGCCACTTCCGGCGAGCTCTGAGGGGGCCCCGGGCCCGGCCGATATAAAATAAAAAATACAAAATACAGCCACCCACGAGTCAGTCCGGCCCTGTGCACAAAACCCAACAGTTCACCTGCCCCAGTTCCTTCCCAATAGTTCTATGCTTCCACACTCCCCACGCCAGAAAGGACTGGTGTGCCGATTTGGACTACTCTGGATTATTAAAAGGTCTCTAAAAATCCAGTATTTTGCCTTGAAAATACCTCACAATAGAATTTTCTGCTACAAAGAAACCCAAATTGGAAACTTTTGCCGGTTCCAAGTGCAGCAGTGTTGCAGAAACACGTGCACCTTCCAAGAAATGAGCCCAAGGCTCCCACCTGCTCTACACCTGGGACTGGTGAAATGAGGAGGAAGGACAGACAGCAAAGCTGCTTTGTACTCCTTTCTGTGATGACCAGTGTGATGACCTGAAAAATTAAATACAGAAGATTTAATTCTACTTTTATCCAGATCATAATTTCTTATTAGAGGTGAACAGATTATTTAGGATACCTTGGGATAGTGGTAGAAAGGTACAAAGTTCCAGCCTTGCTGCAGATGTGTTCCTCTCTTTGCTTATACCATCTGCTCTCATAATTTCAGTTTTAAAAATAAACTGTAATTGCATAATTAGTTCCATTACATTTTTTGTGAAAGAAACCTTATTTCAAGGTCCGGTCTCTACTCCTCTGTTTGTGGCTGTGCTATCCAGAATTCAATTCCCGTAAGATATCGATGTGCTGTACTTCCAAGCTCCAGTCACACCAGACTTACTTTCCTTCACGTCAAACAGAGTGAAACTTCAGTTTTGTAATTCTGTAGTGCTGAGAGGACAGGAGAATTAAGAACCAGTTTGTCAAGCTTCACTTGGAAAATATAGCCTAAGTACAATGGGCCAGTCCAGAAGGGCCAAAGAGCAAGAGAGTTTTTTCCCCCTCAAACTGGTGGAAACTATACTACAAAGCAGCAATGTTTTGGCAGCTGTGATCCTGTTCTCAAGTATTTTTAGACCACTTGCCAATTCTGTAGCAAAATAAAATATCTTCAGCAGGGCCTAAGGACCTGCCACCTGCATTACACAGAGGTATGTGTTCAGGTAAACACGCACACACACCTATGCACCTTCAGCCCACCACAGAACAAGAAAATTTAAGTCAGAACCTCTCACAGGTATTACCTAACAGTGAAAGAAATTCAGAAGATAGAAATACCCAAATATGTCTATGAGGTTACATGTTACATATGTGATGTGCTACATCACAGTTCACACACAGTGAGCAGCAGCAGCATCTTCAAAAAGAAAGTTAACATCAAGTGCCAAACAGGCCATTTTCAGTAAACACTAAAATGCAGAGTATAAATAAGGCAATGCAAGCTAGTGGCAGGGAAAAATTGCCTTATTGCATATATGATCTCACAAGGCATCTATTTTGGTATGCAAAATAGATCTAATAATCATGTTACGAAGCTGAACAATAAGCCAAAATGACAAATTTTAAGACAAAGTAAACTTCTCAGGTGTTAATAAGGACAGATATCTGCTAAACCAGCAGTGACAGCAAAGTAAAAACCCTCAAGCCCCTACATGCTAGACCCTACCCAGGAAAGTAAATAGCAGTGCACGTATTTTTTTCTCTCATAGGAGCTGACATGTATAACTCATTGAAACAAGACGTGAAGTTAAAAATGCTAGTAGAATTCAAGGAAGAGCACAATAACAATTGTGTATAATAATGTCAATAGGATATTTACACAACAACAAGCTCATCTGCAATTACAATGTCAGTACAAAATCATTTTACTGCACACCTCTCTTCTTGCAAACTAAATTCAAGTCAAAAATCTACATCAGAAATTATATCCTCTGAAAAAGTCCCTCATACAAATGCTACTGGTAACTCATACCTTTTCTGAAATTTCTGGTTTTGCCAACTGTCACAATACTTGACTAATGTGTTTGTTCTTAGTTGCCATAAAGGACTTAAAAAAAGGGGAAAGAAGTGTTGTATTATAGATTAGATTTCATCCTTGCTATTTTACACAGAAGGTAGATAATTTTGGGAGGTGTTTTTGATTGGTTTCATTGTGTCTTATTTTTACTTTTTTAAAAAATGTTTTCTTGCAACTTGTACTTCATGAGCCATCTATCATTTTAAACCAAGAGGAGTTATTTCTTCTGATAATGAAGGATAATCTTTTGTGATGGGTTCATATCCACTTACTGCTTAGAATTTTTTCACTAATTTATCTGGACTACTATCTGCCATTTTAAACTGAGGCTCTTGAAAGAAAGTCTATTAGCATAAATAAGAACTTTGAAAAGTTGTCCCACAAAATAGTAATTTTGGTAGAAACTAAATCAGTTTCTTGCAAATCAACTTCCCAGTTTTCACAGTGCAATTCACATTTACTTCCCTCACCCATGGATTCAGGGCTTTGTACCTTTGTTTGGTATGAGCTGTTTCTTTGCTTTGCGTGATGACGTGTGCACTGTACCCTGAAGGAAATGCCTTTGACATTTTGGTAGAGGAAAGAGTGTCCAAGTGACAACTTCCAATCTGAGTAAAGGCAATAAGCTGTGGGCACGTTGCCCAACTTGAACATGACGCACTTCATGATGGCTCTAAGAGGCTGAGTCTTCCTTGAGAAAAGACAAAGGACGGAAGTTGCTTGTGAAGACTGCTTCATTAGCTTTCTTTGGAGGATGCTTAGAGCGAATATTGATAACACCATTGTCATTGATAGTTCACTGAAGGAGAAGCATTTGTACAGAGCATCCAGCACCAACAGTGAGATCATGCATCAAATCAGACCTAATTACTGTCTCCAGTTTTGGAACGAAGAGCTGCATGACTCAGATGAGGAGCAAGAATTCCTCTCTTGCTACTTATTTCTCTCACAGGGAAGCACAGACAAAGACAAGTATAAAATGTATTAGGTTAATTTTGTAGAGAAATCCTTTTATCATAAATAGTTCAGCAAAGAGAAGTCCAGAGAAACAGGATTTGTCATTCAGACACCTGCAGGATGTGTTCTGTAAGGCAAGGTTAACCCTCTCTTTTGTGCACCTCTTCCTGTGCACACAGGGAAGTTTAGAAAAGTTTAAGCTGGCAGGACCTCTGTGGGACTATGGCAGGATAGACCCACCCTGATAAGACCTAAAATCCAATCAAGCTATCAATGCAAGCTATCATGCAAGATCAACTGTTCGAGCCAGAGTGCTGTCTTGGTGTTAATTCCGCACCTCTCCCACACCCCAGTCTGCACTCAAATCAGAGCATTTGAACATATATGGGGATGGTCAGGGCCTTGTCACACTTACCTTTGAAATTCTGTCCCATTCCATCCTTGAAGCTATTCAAACCAGAACAGACACGCTCCTGGACAAACCCTTGTGGCTGACCTTGCTTTGAACAGGTGGATTAGACTGGATGATTTCCAGTGGTGCCTTCTGACCTCAACTACTCCTTCAGAGACCATTATGTTTCTGGACAACCTGTTAACCATGCCCATGGAGGACATCTTTGAATTAGACCTGCAGCAAAAGTACATCTGCTCTATATGACCAATGTAGCTAGTTTGAAATTAATCCTGGAAGCCACTGGATGTACAACACAAAAATTAGGGTTCTTCAACAGGAAATGTTAATAAAGGAAAAAGATGAGAAGCAGATAAGTTTATACCTTTTGCAATTTTTAAAATTACCACAAAATTCAGCATAGGGAAAGAACTTTAGTAACATTAGCTGGATTTCATATTATTTTGAAGAGTATTTCGAGACCAAAACATTTGATCAGAGAAAAGTAACGAATCTCAATTTGTTACGAACAGTCTTCTCACCATCTAAAGGAAAGAAAATAGCCGTAAACTTTTTTTTTTATTATTTTCAGGGCTCTATACAGTTGGACATGACATTCCATAGAGAATGAAGATGAGGGACCAGTCCAGTCAATCCTTGCTCTTTGATATGAAAAATGAAATTGTAAGTAGAGAAGACAAGATATCCTAGATGGAGGGAAATAAGCTTTAAAGTGATGAGATTACATAAAGTAGCTACTGTATTAGCACTGAGTAAAAGGCAAACAGAAAAAACATTGCTAGCACTCTCAGACTTAAGTAGTTAGTTCTAACTGAAGGAGAAGTGAAATGGAAAAGGGTCTCCCAGTCTACTGAGGGACCTGTGTTTAAGATCAGCCAAAGTAGTTTATGTGTATCAAACTAGTCTCCAGATGGAAGCTGTACTTTCTCTGCCAAGAGAGTTCTCTAGGGCAACATTGGATGAAGTCTTCTCAAATAAATAGATGCAAGGGGGGCAGAACAAACAAAAAAATTGAATTCCCCTAATACTATCTTTGTAAATTAACTAGATGTTTTAACTCCCTTTTTCTTTTACTTTTTCTGGCACAAGAGCCCCAAATACAACACAACACATTCATCTATCTCACAAAAGGAAAAAAAAAAGTGCATTTCATATCAGAAGCTTTGCGTCAAGCCTGCTAAGGCTCATAAATCAGCTGTCTTATTGCCCTGGTCATTTCAACCAACGTCTGACCCTTTTGTTAACTCATGATTTATAACTGGAAGTTACTTTTTTTTTAAATGCCAGATTTATAAACTTTACTGTGCTTGGTTTGATATAATATCCATTTTGTACACCAAGCTATAAGACAGTAAATTTATTGTCTATGAACTGTTACCTTGAAAAATTACATCAATGCAAAGTGGTTCCCATTTAGAATCAATGGGCAATAAATTCATTGGATTTTTTTTTTTTGAAGGGGGGAGAGAACATGATGATATTTATGAAGTCATGAGCGAGTATATAATGGGAGAAACTGGGAGTAGAGGCAACACTCAGACAGGATTTCTTAGTTACAGGGGTAGACAAAGACAAAACATATTCAACACGGCAATCAATGATGCATAAGCTGATATTCTGCTGTCTCATTATTGTCAGCTTCTCCTGTCCTCTCTTGTCTCTCCCCATCATCAACACCAGTGAGATGTCTTATCAACTCTCAGGTAAGAGTCTTCTGATTTTAATCATTATAAAGAAGGGGCAGGAACAATAAAAGCAGAAAAGAGGCAGGTGTGCTTTCCAAGGAGTCTTGATTTGTGCTGATCAGCTGTAGAAAAAGCAGGAATGCCTTCAGAACACCAGTAGTGCAACTGATATATCAGTGGGGGCTAATCTTGTAAAATGGGGAGGTTGGGTGCCCTAGATATTTATCCCTTCTGCTCTGAGATCCAGGAAACAAAAGTATGTATCCAGCACTGAATGTGAGCTTTTATTTAGTGTTTGAGCATTTGTGGGCATTGGGCAACCTAGAGAAACTTGGCTATACAGTTTCTCCTCTTCCCACCCTTTGAAGCGAGCTATGTTGTACTTAAAAAGAGGAAACCTACCACAAACATCAAGAACAGGCAAGTCTGTCTTACACTCCTATGTACTGAGCATGCAATTTGTTTGCACTAATTCAGATCCCGTTTAGCTCAGGGAAAGGATAAATCTTTGCTTGGAAAAGCTATCTTCAAAGTTTGAAATGGCTACGTGAAAATGCCCAGCAGTCTGCACATCACAGCAGAAGGTTACTGTCACCAGACCTGACTTGTACTGGAGGACTTTCTGAAATGAGTTCTGAAAGAACAGGCAAATCAAACCCAAAGTTATTGCTTAAAGCTGACTATTAAAAAGTGGCTGTTCTTACCAGCTTTGCTGGTGCACCAGCTGTTGTGCTGGTTAATTGGTATCAGTGGTCCCTAGTTTGCTTTGAAAATCTTGGACTCACTAAGCCAGCATCTTCTTAGGCCTTCCACTACGTAACTTGCACTTACAGGTAACCCTGATTCAGTATGGATAATACCTATTGCATCACAGAGTGAACAAACTGGCTCTAACCATTATTGCATTGGTCTGAAGACATCCACTAGGCTTCTTGAATCTTCCTTGCTAATATAAAGAGTCTCCAGGATTGATAAAATAGAAGAGAAACTCTTTCAAAGAGGATTGGTTTGGGGTCTTTTTTCTGTTTGTTTGTCTTTAATCTCATAGCAAATTTACCCACCAACACTGCTCTGATTTAAAGAATAATCCAAGGCCTGAGATATGAATTGTCTCCACATAGCACAGGGAAGTTACTGCATTGTTATTCTGAGTCTTACAATAAAAACCCCACTTTGCAATTGTCCTTCTATGAAGTGAACAAATAATTAACACAGATGTCCAAGGTCTCCAGGTTCTTGATCTTTGTCCAAGTTTCTGAAATGTTGGGGGATTATTTTCAGCAGTTTATTTTCTTATATATTCCCTGTTGAGAAGTATACAGTCATACCCACCCCTGCAGTTCAGAGCAGCTGAAACTCCATAGTGTCAGCTAGGTGTGCAACTACAAAATGACATTCATATACACAACTAATGTTTGATAACCACAATTTTGAATGTCTGCTTTATATTAGCAAAGATGAAATTTACTGCTCAGATTACAAAGGTTACCTCAAGTGTAGCACTGCTAAGGGCTTCTGCTGGCCACCTGCCACGGGGCACAGGCTGGCCACAGAATTCTAAATTCTCTATGCATAATGCTATCATCTACAAGCAAACTGTTGTTTCAGAAAAAGTAATAACATCTGTACTGGTATGACATTAACTGAGAGAGAGATGCCAAAATAAGTTGTAAGATTTCCTACATTTATCCCTGCCCTTACCCCTCCTTTTTTCAAAGCTTTGGAAGGAAAAAAACCACAAAACCAACTATCCCCTATTATAATCATTAAATGAGGATGGATGATTGATGCTTTCATGAACATTTTCAACAGGTGGGGCCAACAGACCTGATCAAAAATCACCTGAGACAGACTGAAACAGGAATTCAAAGCAAAAGACTCACCATATGCCTGTTTCTATCATATTTCATCTGCAGCTGATGAAGATTCAAGATTAAACCTGGAAAGGCTGGGCAGCCCAGGAAGCATCTCTCTGATTCAGTTTCTGCCAGAGCTCCTGGGCACACTGACTGAAGGCAACAAAGCAGGTGAGGATTTACCACAGCAATGGGAGAATGCCCACAGTTTGCACCTCCAGCTTCCACAGATATTGCGCCCCAACTCCCAGGTATTTACTGAAATACAACATTATGCATAGGCAACAGACTCCTGTCATTTAGTTAACTGGGGCCTTGGGGAAACCCGCTGAGCAACCATGCCTGCAGTTCAACATTACCTGATAAAGCCTCCAAAGAACTTTAGCAAAACCTCCATAAAGCAAAACCAGGGCAAGGCAAATATTGGCCTTAAAGGAGCTGGCAGACAAAACAAAATAGCAGTCTTACAAAGTATCAATACTTGCAGAAAGTGCAGAATCCGTAGCAATGGATGGTTTGGGGAGTAACAGATGTTACTGTCTGGTCCTGAATCTTCCAGTTCAAGAGTTCTGCCAGCTATAGCATTATGGCACGTGGGAATTATTTGCCTAAGTTCACAATTTCTAGATGGTAAAACATTTCATTATGTCTCCCCTCTACCAGGTCTTACCCCCAGCAACTACAACCCAGGGGAATATATCAAAGAGGTAAGTAAACGACCATCTGTCACCGAAACAAGAAAATTAAGATTCCACAATCTAAAGTACACAGCATTGTTACTGAGACATCATTTCAGATCCACAGATTTCATAAGCAGTATAGACTAAAGTAGTATGCCACAGTGTTCTTGAAGCTGGAATCACCTAGCAGTTAGATAGACTGGGGAGGGGGGGAAAATGGAAAAAGAAAAGGAAAAAAGAGAGAGCAGATAATCCAGAGCACTTAATTCTAAACCCTCCACCTCTCCCCCCGCCCCACCTCCCCGAAAAACAGTTTTCTAAGGCCAATTTTCAGCTTCATTAGTGCTGGCACCAGTATTAGCTACATGTCATTTCCCTCTCACACACTACAGCATAGGCTACACAATATTATCAGATGTGTTATGAACCATTAGGTACATTGAGAACATCACCCCTGTTCACTTCCTGCTGAATTAAATACAAATGCAAAAGACAGTGACTTGTTTTAGTGCATCATCTAAATCAGAGGGCACACTGGGCAGCTGCCTCTCCTTCTCCCAGTCACAACACAGGGCTGGGTGATCAGTCAGGGCAGTGGAGAGTGTACTTTCCCACTGGGAACAAGTACCATCCAACAGTAACCTCTCTAATGCTGTTTGACTTTAGAGTTTCTACAGAAATCATCCTCGAATTGCTTTGCTGGGACGCTTCTTGACCAAGGACAGGAAACAGTACAAGAAACGTGGGAATCTTTCTGAGTGCTTCTGGAAATATTGTGTGTAAACAGGAAACTTCCTGACTGGTTGCATAATTTATACAGATGTCTGAAAACATGTATATAGATTTGCTTGATTTAAAATGAGAATGAAGAAACATGAAGGCAGTGCCTAACTTTAGACTCTATGCTACTTGGAAATGAATAAATTCTTGTTATTTTGCAATTATGCTGTGACCAATGTATTTTCTTAGAGCTGAGCACAATAGGAAGAAAGTAATGGGACAAAGAGATAAATATACAACACAAAGAATTTGGGCAGGGGAAGCAAGATTCCCATGAGGTCCTGTGACACCTCCCATTAGAGCAATGCCTCAACTGTGTCTAAGTCCAGAGGCAAGAGGACTTTCTCCTTTGTCACTTGATGTAGACTGGGGTATCAGAAAGAAAGGGTCATTGCTGCATTCCCTGATGAGCTGATAAGGGATTAACAGTGCCCAGTCCCATCCTGCCATCCCCAAGGCACCACAAAAACAATAAGCACACGTCAGGATCAAGCATCTGTTGCCACTCCTGCTAGAGACAAGTTTCTCTTGTTCACTCATAAAATAAGACCCGCAAATCTATTTCTCTGCAGCACCTTGCCTAGCCTCCAGCTATCCATGACAACAGGGCTGTCTGTGCATAGTGTGGGCTTTAAGAATTGTGTCGGGTTATCATCAAGCAGAAGGTACCCATGGCTGTCAATGCCAAGACTTGCATCCAGATTCGGACAGTCAGTGGAGACAGGAATGACACCATTTAAAAGATTCTGTGGCTGTGACCTGCACTTATGTGGCTGCACACAGAGATGCAGGAAGGTGACACATGGATATAGATAATATGTGTTACTAGGGCAAGTCACCTCCTGCTTGGGCACTCAAGGGCAGTGAGATTTGTTCCCTTGAGCTACCACTCACTGATAATGTTTTTGTATCTTGGCATGTAACGTAAATAAGGGAGAGGACAAAATAGCACCTGTAAAAGGCTTCTAGTCTGAGTCCTTCATATGGACAGTACCACCATACTTTCTCAATCCTGGGTACCCTCCTGATAATATCTGGAAGGAATAGCGCTAAACAGTCAGGTGTTTGGGTGATGCCAACCTCGATAATATGCACAAACTGTCTGAGCTGTGAACCCTACCCTGCTCAATACATACTTCGCATAAACCTCACGCCAATCAAGGCTCACAGAAATCTTGAAGTAAACTCACCTAAGAGTGATACACAGGCTACATTGATCTCAACAGTATACATCATAAATCTCTGACTGTGCTATTTAAACAAAGCCTACAGGCTTGAAGCAGCTTGTTCACTTCACATAAATTACAAGACAGATGATGCCAGCTGTAACAGAGAAAAATGTCCTCAGAAAGTCAGGACAGCTGGATGCCCTGTGCAGCTATTTGTAATCTTTCAAACATTCATCCTTCTCTTACACAACGGAGCAAGTCAGTGCCTGTCTAGAAATTACTCTTTTTCTGCTACCTCATCAGTCAATAAAAACTTGTAGGAGAAGACTTCAATTTATCTAAATGAATAACCTACTAAGACAGACAGATGGGCAGGGAGAAGTGTAGAGCCTACAGAGAATTTTTTTTCCTCTTTTTTAGAGGGGAAAAAAATAAACATATATTTTCAAACATTGCAAGCATGAAGTAAAATAAATAAACCCGAAATGAATAATAATGGAAAAATATTAAAAAGTTCACTAGCCATCTACCCAAGAGCTGTTAGGTGTTGAGGACAGAGTCAAGACAAGGTAATCGAGCTATAAACTGAAGCTTTAAGCTTTTAATACTGCAAAAATACTTGCTAGTACTTATGGCAATGCCCAATCAATTTACTGTTCAAGCTAGGCCAGGTCACAACAGCAGGGGGCTGGGGGCAGGATTCAGCTAATTCTAATCCACCAGAATTTCATCAGAGCCTGAAACTTTGAAGGAGTTCACATTGTGTCTTTAGACATCACTGGTAGTTCTCAAGAAGACAATTTTTGAGACCCTGATCCACTTTTTCATTTCACTCTTATTCACTCTTATTCTTCTATTCACTCTTATTTTTCGGACCAAAAATAGCTTGATGATTTGACTCACATTTTTAAGTATGCTTAGAATGACCAAATCACCCTTTAAAAAGAAAAATCAATAAACCATCAGCAATGATATATCTAATGACATATCTTCAAGATGCCTGCGTTTCAAGCAACTGCATCACTTACCTTACCAGAAACACCTTCAGTTACATGCTCATCTAAGATTACTTCTTCTACCAACTTCAGTACAATGCTACATCTTTTGTCCTGTACCTTGTACTCCCTGCAGTGACTTTGCCTTTCTCCTGCAGGCTTCTTTAAGCACTGTTGATCACATCTCTCTGTTAGGTCCCTTAAAGCAGAAAGGGATGAGCAAATTGTTTCTCTGCAACTAGGTAAGAACTTCACTGCTCTGTAAGATATACCCATGAATTAAACCTGCTATTTTTTTTGTACTTCCTCCAGAACAAAAATTTCTCAATAAGATTAGCAGAGGCAGAACCTTTAAATCCTGCATGCCAAATCCTGAAAGTTTACAAATCCCGATACAATATTTCACATTCAAAAGGTGCTTGCCCTTCTTTGTAGAATATAATTAGAAAGGAAAGAATATGTCCTGGAGTGGCCAGGGTAGAGTGTAAATGAAAAAAATCAAACAACTATAAAACCCCTCAACAAAACAGCACAAGTGGCCACTACATGACCGTTTTCACTGTACCCACAACCCAATGTCCACTGTACCCCAACCTATGTACAATCAGAATGTAATATTTCCTTAAAAATCTATTTTCTACAAATTACCGAGAAAAAAAGTAAACACACATTTGAAACAATTCTTTGCAGCACATTTTTCAGTTTTATTTATAAAATCAGATGCTCCTTTAAAGTGTACAGTTAAAATCACAACTTTAAATTCAACCACTGTTGAATATTATTTCAATAGAATACCCCTACCAACTGATGTAAAAATTGTGATTTAAAACTCTATTCAGCTGGAAGATAAACTTACCAACACGACTCATTCAGCAAATATTTACCACACTGTAAAAATACACAAGGGTCCCTTCTGTTCATAGCAATACCATGAAAATATTCGCATATCAACTCATCTTTTAAAACATAATTCTGTATTTGTGAATACAACAAAAAAAAATTGCCAGCAAAATCCACCAGGGGTTTCTAAACTGCTGATGCCCCCACAGGGGGTAGTAACTGCATCAGTACTGTCCTTGCATATTTTTCTTTTCATCACCAAAAAAATGACCTTCCAAGCAGCTCTAAACTGTCCTCAACATTTTGCCAGGCAAAACAAAGTCACAGGAACAAAATAACATGGCTGAAACACTTGCTTCACTGGTCTTTCAGATTGGAACTGCAACTCACTTTGACCACTCCAGCACACCAAAAAGACTAAAGATTAGTAAAACCTGAAGTAAAAACTACCAGTCTTGATAAGGCATTCACCTCTTCATTCCTCTTATATTCTTCTCCGAAATCAAAATTTTCTCCATAACCCAGGTCTAATGTAGCCCCATACAAGAGATCCTGCTCCTAAGACTTAGCCAGGATTACAAACTCTGAATTCAAAGTCCTAGCCACATGCATTTTCATTATATACAGCCAGAGGGTATATGGCACTCGCAGCACTTCAAAAACTCTCTGGGCTTTCTGATGCTCGATAATTCTACTGGGCACACACAAATTCACAGTCATAGGGGTACAAGAAGGTTTAACACCTCCAAACAAGAAACCCATGTAGTATCATCAACTTTCTACATAGAGCTCAGAATCTTGACCTCTTGTAGCAAAACCAGTACGGGATACAGCAAGTGAAGATTCACAGATTTTACTCCTGGATTTCATATAAACTGGGGGTATGTACCTGCACAAGTCCTTTGTCTCTCTGCCTCTTTTTATAAGAAGTCATCTTTTTGACATGTTTACAGACCTATGGATGAAAAGCATTATTCAAGTGTTGGGTATATATTACCATTCTCCTAAACTAAGTCCCACTGTTTTACAAAATGGATGACATGTCTGCCGGCTAAGACATTGCAAATCATCTCATTTTCACACTTGGGAAATAAACAGTGAAAACAATGTACACAAAAGAGTTGGCTATTATCTTTTCTTCTGGCTTAGGGCTCAAAACTATTTTGAAGGAGACAGCTGTCCTTACCTGAAGTATTCAAATTAATCTATTTCACTACATCTCAAAATACATTAAAGCAATCATTTTAATTTAAGCACAGATAACTAGAATAGCTTCTAGTGTATAAGTCTGATTTGATGGATAAATTATTTAAGAAGATTCCCAATCAAGAAAAAACCTTTACACAAAGCATCTTATTACATGCTTTAGAGCGAGTATTTTAGGCAGTGTGATTATTAAGCAGAATACCATATTTGGAAAATGCTCTAAAAGGACTAGGAAAGGTGTAACATAAGCTGCTATATGTAAACACCTACTGAAGTTTCTTATTTTAAGACATGTTTGAACACAAGCAGTACTGAGGATGTGTGGACCTCTGCTGATTTACAACACAAGAAAAAAACAAGTTTAAGTGGAAAAAGCTGAAAGACAAAGAAACGCAGTTTAAGAATAAGTAGAAACCAAGGGGTATAAACAGAGCAGGCAAACATACTGTAAAAAAAAATTAAAAAAAATCAATAGAACACTGCCTGAGTCAAATTAGCCTTGAAAACTTCGAGTTGTGCAAAAATAACTTTCCTTAAAATAAAATTTAATAAGAAAGATTGTCACAAAGGATTGATTTTTAAAAGTAACAGAAACCTTCAGATAAATAGTTTTCCTTCAATGACCTGCAGGTCACAGTATTTTTAACTCAACAACCTGAAGTTCACTAGTAACTACAACTAGAGAAATGAAAATACTTCACAAAGTAGGAAGGGAAGAATTACCCAGAAAAAAAAGGATAATAATGTGTTACATTCTAAAATTCTGTTGAGAAGGCTAAGGTGATTAATAACACCACACGGAAAATCCGATTACATCCAGCTTTTGACAAACAAAGGAGAAATCAGACAAAATCTGCAGGATTGTAGTGTCTGAAGAGCACTTTGAGACATCCATGAGAACAAGTCCTTTCATGTACTGAAAGTGGTTACCACGTTCTGAACATCAAATTCACATTATGCACAAACTCCTTTTTCATCCATGGACTTAAACTGCCATGACTCCATTATAAAGAGAGAGGTTAAAACTTGTACAGGAAGTCAAAAGTGCTAAGAAATAATGAATATGTGGTTTGATGTTCAAGTTCAGCTCCACAACATGTGACTTTTCACAAAAGCAGAAGAAACGAACCTCATACTCTTTTTGGTTTTGGCATCATCACAACAAAAGCAAAACAGAGAAACTGCTTAAAATTTCCTATTTGCTACGTCTGTATTCAACTCAACCCCTCTAAATCAACAACAAAAACATTAAGATACAAAAACACCTTCCAGAGCACTAGCAACATAAAAGATTGCATATAACTACTTTAATTGATAACTACTTGCCTTGATAGAGAAGACTTTCCCCCTTGTCTGTTTTTAAAAAGCAGATCCTGTAGAAAGAAATAACTACTACATTGATATTTCTGGGTTTGGTTTTTTTTTTTTTTTTTTGGCTGCTCTATGTAGTTTAATCTCTAGTGGATTTTCAAACCAGTTACCCTCAATTAATTTTACATACCTGTGTCAATAAACACAACTTTAAAATCAAAAGCTGTGAAACAACTTGGCTCCAAAACACTCATCACAATAAACACAGGGAAAATCTTTGCTTCTTTTCTCTTCAGTTTATTTTTTTCCAATGGGCACAAGCTGGCAAAAGGCATTTGATGCAGAATAACCTGGTCAATTTCAACTGCTCTTTAAAAAGCCTACTGAATTCTCAGCTACAGTGATTTCAGAACCTCAGAGTATTAGGATCTTCAGTTTAGACTTATAAATATTGAACAAAAATGAAGAGTGCTCTGCTGTAGCTTGGTTTCAATGTATCCACCTTGCCTGGAGAGTAAATGTGTTCTGATCAGTTAGGTTCATTACCATAGGTTCTTAAACACTGCATCTTTTCAGACTCTTACTTGCCAAGTTCAAAAAACCAAACACCCAAACCAAAAAATCTTTGTATTTTGCTCATCACTGAGCAGTTAAAGGTTAGAAACATATTCCATTCTGTGTCAAGTCTATGAGGTCAGAAAGTGAAATTGTTCTCCCAGTGAAAGATTGTCTTCAGAGTCATGTCTGGATCAGAAGGGTAATGGAGGAAGATTAAGTTTCATATGTGTGACTGCTCATGTTGGTAAGAGATGGCCATGTAGATTCACTGCTAGTGTGGAGCAAAGCCAGAGGAAAAGAAAATGGGAATGACACCGAGCAGTTTTACTGACATAGGTGCTGATGCCCTCAGTGTTGCAGGAGTGGAGGTGGTTTTCCCTTGTTTTCCATATTGCCATCAGCCAGTACAGCCTCACAACTTGCTTCCCTGTTGTCACATGTAACACAGCCCTTTAAAAAGGAACAAGAAACAGTAATTTAAATTCTTCTTTTTATGAGTCTATTTCAAAGGGTCAAATTCTCAATGCTGAAACCTCTCACCAGTGGGCTGAAATCTCTCTAAAAGAAGAGATTACAGAGATGTCTTATTGTCAGAAGCAGACACACCTGCAACTTACCTTGTCTCAGAGATTAATTCTTTGGTTACTGGAAAATACAGTTTTACCTTTGAGATGAAAAGGCATGTGGCTTCCTTGAAGACCTTATCATTCAGCTTTATAAGCAAGCTCCTCATTCAAGATTTGAACTGCAGCCCGAACAGCAACAATACTGAACAACACAAAAGGCTGAAACACCCAAGTATATTGATAGACCAGACTGTTCTGGGTTTTGAGAAATAGTACAATATTGAAATACAGCATCAAAACAGAAATCCTACATTTCATTGTACTGTCAGAAGCCTGGCTGTATTCACAAAATCACAATCTGCATTCGAAATATGAGCTACTGCTTAGGAACAGTTTCAGGACCTTAGATAGAAAATACTGATATTTGCATAGCAATACATCTTGTAACATTTGAGACGTAAACATTCAACAGAATTTTCTACAAGATCGCTGGACATCATTTTGCCATCTGAATCAAACACAATGTCCTAACCACAACAGGACACATGATTTCTATCAACAAGGTATTAGGATAACAAAGACTAATTTTCCAGTCTTCTTCCAGAGTCAAGGACTTATATGTCTCAGTTTTTTTCCTCTAAGAACAAATACCACACATTTGACAATTGCCAACATTTGACAATCCTAGAACTCCACATCTGACAATCCTAGCACATACAGCATGCAGTGCTCCAAGAGACATGAGACTTTTGTGCTGCCCAAGTACATGAATGTAGCCCACTCTTCCTTGGAATTTTCTATACAACTCAACATTGAAGTGCTAAGCCTTTGTGGCACTAGATCTGCCTTGCTCTTCTCCACAGCACCTGGGAGTACTCTAAACTCATGAGGACACTCAGAAACAGTTTAGCCCAAGAATTATACCAGCTAAAGTAATCAAGCATAAGATACCACCTACAAAAAACCAGCTATTTTTGTGTTTCTTACTATAGACTTGAACCTCCTCTGTGACTACGAGCATTTTGCAGCTTGCTGAACACACTTTCTCCAGTCTTCACTGATATCCCAGCACTGCATGCTATTCATAACAATCAATTTTATAAGAGCAGAAGTCCTAACATGAACAGAAAAACCATCTCTAGATGTCTTACATGAGATCATGCCACTATTCCCATTTATCCAACACCGTGACTGAAAGAACTTTTCTACAGATAGTTCCTATGCAGAATTTGCATATCTTGAAAACAAAAAAATACAATGGCAAGACCTGAATGCTGGCATTTCTCAGGGTACTCGAGCTCATTTCCTGCTTATACTGACATTCATGACCCCAGCACTCTACAATGACCCTGGTCAGAAATGCCTTGGCTGGCCAAGGCAGAAATGAGCTGACAAGTCCTTTCCCACCTGCTCACCTGGGTGCTGATTTGCAGCGGGACAGTCTGGGTACGGATCCACGTATGCACCTCTGCAAGCTCCTGCTTTTGCCCATCTGTAAACCAAGGCTGCTGCTTTCGCATGACTGCCAGCTTCTCCAGATCCTGCTTTAAAACTTCCTCTTTAATTCTGCAGGTAACAGACACCTGTGAACAAAGCTGTGCTACATGAAGCAAGGCAGGCACTGACCATAACTACATCGTGAGAATCTCTTCATCACTATCTATGGCTGAAGTCTAGACAGCATCAGCTGTTAAAAGGGAACTGTACTTTGTACTTTATCTGCTTTGTAAGGCTCCTTTAACACTGGTCTAACCGTCAGTGTTTTGTTTGTTGCTGTTTTTGTTAGAAGTTTTTGTGTGTTTGGTATGGGTTTTTTTAGTCTTCTTTTATGGCTTTATGTGACTTTTTTTTTAATGTGGAATCTCACTACAAATTAGAGATAAGCTATTTGCAAGCAACTTGCAAATAACCTGTATTGTTACCCCTTTATGCAATTTAAAGGACAGGACAATAACCAATCCCATTAACACTTCAGCAAAAACATCACACGTTCCCTTATTTTAACTGAGAGGGTAAAATGGGGAAAAAGTAGACAAAAGTAAATAACCAGAGCCTAAATGGCACAGAAGTAAACTAACACACCTTCTTGAAGTTTCATTGGTATGCATGCTGTTTCCATGGTACATCATTTTAATTTTAAAGTTCTATGCACAATTCCCAAGTACATGTGAGAAACTGTTCATGTTTTCCAACCTGTTTGGCATTTGGTAATTCATTAGAACTCGCTCAGGTGTATGATCCATCATCACCCAGGCTGACTCATGTTTCGATTTATAAGCTGTCCCTTTTTCTTCTGCTTCCTGATTTCTCTCTTCTTTGGAAGTTTCAGAAGAACAATTACCGGCAAAATACTTTCTGCTTTTCCCACTACCTGCTGAGAATGACCACGAAAAAGAATAAATGCAAATCCCTGAAAAATCCCACTAATTCATCACAAAAAGTAACACACCACCAATGTATTCTTGCGAGTTAGTTCTGCAATACAAACACAGGTACTCCCAGATGACTGCTCTAGAAATTACTACCTATTGAGAAATCAAGGATAAAGTGCATTTTTTAAGTTATTCAAGATCCTCAAGGCTCTATTCAGTCTTCTCAAAATTAATTGGCTTAATTCCTCTGCTTCTGAGAGGTCCTGCTCTAGATAGGTTTACCTTTACTCAAATAAGATGTAAACCAGTATCTAATGCAGAGAAAACTGATAATGAGTAAAATGACAGAGTGACTTGCAAGTTAAAGGAATAGCTTCTTAGATTCACATTTCCAGCTACAGTGACTGAAACAAACTTGGCTTCAAATGCTGGAAGCTGGTGAAAAGTAAAGGTTATAGATCCTCTTACAGGAACTTCCCATTCCCATTACAGTGCCTTATTATTTATTACATGTTAGCAAGCCATCTAACACCAAATATCTAACTTCCCTACCTGTGCCACAACCAGAAGACTCATTGAAGCTAGAGCCTAAAGAACCAGACAAAGCTGATCCACTGCCTGATGCTGCTGCACCTGAACCCAACTGGGAGTCCTCGTATAGACTGTGGTCAGGAAATTCATGAGAAGCACTGTTATCACTATCTTCTGGATCATTATCCTGGAGATAAAAAGCAAAACCAACATATCCATCGAAGTTATATTTCAGTTTGCAAAAGGAAAGTCATGCATTTACTGAAATTGTTACGCGTTGACCAAGTTCTCCTATCAATTCAACAGGTTTGGAGTTTCTAGTTCTGAAAATGAATGGCGGTCTAGAAGTCAGGCTAACACTCCTCATGGGTGAAAAATCAACAAGCCTCTATTCTTGTTTACTGGTTTCGGCTATAGATCCTTCCCCACTTTGTCAAGATATTGTGCTGTTGTATAAAGTTAACATTTTCCGCTGACAAGAGAGAAGCAGTCAGTTCCCTTCACATCCTGTTAGATGGCATGAAGCAGCCACACACATCAAGCAATGGTGCACTACAGGGAAAATGAGAGTCTTCCCCTGATTCACTATGTGAAGCAACTGCTTCAGCAGCTAAAGGTACATCAACTCCCAGGACCCTACCCTGCAGTTTCAGCTGATCCAGCCCTTCCAGCCCAATCTGGATTCAGGAGCCAACATTTTTTTCCTTGCCTGCAGAGCTCAGATTCCTGCCTCTGAGTTTACCGCGGAAGTTGGAGAGGCCTTTTCTATGCCCATGTATGGAAACCGACCCACACGGATCCCTGTTCTTCGTTCATTAGCTGCATCCCTGGGAGACAGAGGGAGTAATTAGAAGAGTATCTTCCCTTTGTTTTGGTTCTCCACAAAGACTGTGGGACCGGGTGAAAAAGGATGCAAATTGCGCAGCACTAACCAAGTTCCACATGCATAAAAGCCCCGAACCCAAAATTCTAGCTGACAGTTCCATTGAAAAGGCTGCTGCCAAAATGCTGAGCAGAAGCAGCTTATGGCAGCCTAGACCAGAAGATCTTATACTTCTGTCATTTACTAAGTGCCAACACTGTACTGGTACAAGTTCCCGTAAGTGCAAGTATAAACTGCTTTTTCTGCCTCCTGTGCTATTTGTGTCCCGCAGCCTACATAGCACAGCCAAAAGAAAAAGCAGCTGACAAAATCTGTGTCCCTGAAACACAGATTATCACCACAGGTTTTGGTGGCAGAACACTGTGAAAATCAGTTTCTCCTCTACATTAAAAATTTGTGTTACTTACACATTTATCTTCTGTATGTGGTTTAACATCAGCACTAATGGAAAGTTCCATGGGCTTTGGCAGCTCTTCTTGAAGCAAATTCAGCTGAAGTGGGGAGCTGCTCCGTGAGCTGCTCAGCAGGAGGGCCTGGTCACACTGGCCCTCTTGCTGGTCCTCCCTGGAAGTGTGAAAAGAGGCTGGAAAGGACTGATCCACCGAGTGTGGTGCTAGTGGTGATGGTGCACAAGGAGGGGGGGCTGGAGGTAGTGCAGTGCATGGATATGAAGAGGGGGGATAAACGCACTGAGGGTTAGGAAGAAAGACATTTTGAGGCATCTGAACATACGTGGGGAAACTCTGAAAAAATACAGCCATAAATGTGCCTATGTTTGGGGGATAAAGGGCTGGGCATGACTGTGCTTCACAGCGTAGTTGTGATGATGACAAGGACTCAGGTTGTAATGAGTGAAGGGCAAGTTCCTCTCCTGTAGAAGAGGCCGGACAACTAGAGAGTGGATCCAAATAGACAGGAAACCCCACAGGAGAATGGACATTCAAACTGGAGGAGCTCAGAGAGGACACTTCTGAGGGAGAGAACAACTGTTTCTGAATTGCTCTCTTCTCACATGGAAGGTTATTTCTATTTTTACTAGAAGACTGGCTATCTGAGGAATGTCTCTGAGGTTTCTGGCGCTTGAATTGTCCATGTCTGCCTTTTTTACAGCTAGCTGGGCTCATCTGCTTTGAAGGGGAATCTCCTAAGAAGAAAGAAAAATAGACACATTTACTGAATGACAGACCTAGGGGAAAAAAAAAAAAAAAGAGAAAACCACAAACACACAGATAATTGAGTATGGCTTATTCAGAGAGCTGACCATCCTCTGGATAATTCTTCCATAAATTAGTGATGGATTTGCTGATGTATCTACAATATCTTCCTTCATGTCATCAACTTTCTTATCAATCACTTCGGCTTATCCCAATCAGATCTTTTACATTCTTTCAAGGAGAGGCAATAAATGGGGATTTGCAAGGTTTATTGCAACAACTATCTGCTTTGTGAAAGATAGTAAGATCCAAGATGGAGCAGACCTCCTATGTGGGTAATACTGCTGCCAAACTCTGCAGTTCAAAGTGTTCTGTTTGCAGACACAGTAAGACACTCACTAAATCATACAAAGGAGAACCAGGCTCCATGGCTAGCTTGCTTTTTTTAAGTCACCTAGCAAGTCTTGACTTCTCAAAGCTACTGCCTACCTTGGCCACAGGAATGTCTGTTGTTACTTCTGCTTCTTTGTTGAAAGTAAGTCCTAAATGGAGAAAGCAAGATCCTCTGTCGGAATTTGTCAACATAGTTCTGTTCCTCCTTTTGAGTGTGGGCTGACAACGTCTCTTTTGTTAGCCCAACTGGCTTTAAGTCCTCAGGCAACATAGAAGGACTCTGAGCATTTACAGGAGGCAGTTCAATTTGTTCACTTCCAACAGCAGTATCCTCCATTGTAGTCACTTCTTTGAAGAGGGAAAAAATACAAATCACTCTTTGCTCTGGCCTTCTGGTGTCAACTCCCACAACACCCAAAGGGCTACACAGAAAACAATCTCATCTGAGCTACCAAGCAGATACAGGCTGCAGAGGCAGCAGGAGGAAACACCCTTTATACTCAAATACAGTTACATTAACATCAATTGAGCAAATTATTTTGCATGGTCTGGAAAACTCAAATTCCCTTTGAGGTTATTATAGGCAGTTCTTTCTTCATATTTTCTTAGTACAATAGCAGCTAAATACTGATTTTTACGCTTCTTTCTGCATGAAAATGAAGTAACACTGGCCCATAAATAATGTTTTAATTCTCAATGGTCAAAAGCACATTGTTGTGTTTGAGGTATATGTGATGAAATTCAAGGGGAAAGGAAATAGTGCAGTCTGCTAAAACTGCACTACTAAAATACTCAGGCTCAAGCTTTCTTCACAGTGTCCCAAGAAGTACCTCAATATTTCAGAATTCACATTCAGCCGAATGTATCTTAAATGAACGCAACTTTTTCACAGTGTACTTCTGTCTGGAAACACTGTGTAAATTCAAGAATCAGTGAGTCAAGTCAGTGTTTTGCAAGTGTGAACAGTACCTGATTCAGGGTGTGGGACATGCACTATAGTGCTGCTGTAGCTGCACTGGCTGGTGGCAGACACCACACTTGGAGCCTTGTTGGACAGGGTCAGGTCTGCCAGAGGAGCTCCCACCATGCCTGCAGTTCTCTGGTCTTTCAAGGCCTCTTCCAGACCAGCAGATATTGGAGTGTGGGACTTAACTGCTGACAACATAGCAGCATCTATTGGTAAACGACAAAGTTTCTACATGGAATTTCATTCCAAGCACTATGCTCCCAATTCATCAAGTCTGACTGGTTCAGAAATAACCAGTAACTATGCAGACTATTAAATAAGACAGTCTTCTATACAACAAAATAATCACATGCCAGTGTATATTAAATGTGGCATAAAATGAGTGAGCAACAGAAGGTTCATTCAACAACAACAAACAATACTTCTTCTGAAACATTCTATGTTCAAAGACTTAACATTGTAGCTTACGCTTAACTGTAAGATTTAGGCAAGGTAAGGAAATATTTACCACACACCTAAAATGTCGTTAGCAGCACAGCAATTTAAAAAGTGGACATAAACCTTGGAACCCGTAACAATTGACACATAAAAATTAAATCAGTTGTTGCGGTTCTATTACGATTGTCAGTACACTTTGTGTTACCTTCCAGTGACTGGACTTCCTGCTCACTTTTCTGGACTTGTTTGTCATCTTCTGAAGATGATGATGATGTATTTGCAGAAGATTTACATTTCCTTTTCAATGCTGGAATACTGCAGCTCTCTAGATATCTGAAATGAAAGCATATCACAGGAAGCTCTCCCTACTTTATGGGTTTTTTTCCATTAGGAGATACAAACATTTGAATAATCCAAACTGGAGATCCAGAGGTTGTTAGCTAGTATTTTAAATTCATTGCAGGAAGTTCTGGACATGTATCTGCTTTCCAAGGAGTATTTTAAATAAAATCTATCACTTTTTGAGGGGAAAAAAAAAGAAAGGAAAAAAAAAAAGAAAAAAGATTACATTATCCACTGGGTTAAAAATGCAGACATTCTATAAATTGTATCAACTTTCTGTTTTATATGGATGTTCTCAGAGGATGTAATGAGAAGACACTGACGTATATTACACCCATCAAAATTCACCTAAGTTCCTGTTGCACCAATAGTGAAATTAGCAGTAGACAAACATCAATAAATAGTTGCATACAGAATCTTAAGTCCTAAATTCTTCCTTACTGTGTAAATCAGGTTGGGTAATCCATCCCAATGCTCAGTCAGAGAGGGAGAAAACTTTACAAACAATCCCAGATTCATCTCACAACTCAAAATCCAGACAGTTTTAAGACTAATACAAGATGCTTGGATATTTACCTTCCACCAAATAATCTTAAATTTATATCACTAAAATTGTTTCACAGTTGCTTCATACCTGATGATACTATCGACACAATTGATCTGCTGATAGGAAGGAATATGCGGAGTCTTCTTTGGATCATCATAAAATGTGTTGCCTGTTTTTTCTGTGCTATCACTTCTCAATGTCTGAAGGAAACAGGAAGTAGTGTGCCTCTTCCCTAGAATACAGGAAACCTTAAAGATTTCTTTAAGGGCATCTAAACACTACTCTCATCAAGACACACACAGAGTTAGATAGATAGATAGATAGATAGATAGATAGATAGACACACACATATGCATTTAGTCTGTGATACATACATACAATACAAGGATATATGGCCTATGACAGCACAGCTCTCATTACTAAGTTATTCTGCATTTTCAACTCAATTTATATGTTTTGAGGTAGGAGAAGGAGAAGGGGAACCTATGCCTGAAATAAACCAAAACCCCACACACCGCCTTGAACATCCACTAGAACAACTAGCAAACACAAAGAAAACAGCACATAGAAAATGCCTGCTTTTAAATTGTAAACAAAGTTGCAATTAATACTACTCTTCTTTCTTATCAACTTTGATAATACAGTTCTCTAGGACAACACCAGCAGTTAATGGTAACTTTATTAGTGAGTATCATAGTGGAAAATGTTTTAATACGGATTTCTATGATATTTGATGAAGCATCCAGGTTTCTCCATACATTTGCACTAGGTACTAACTGAAAATAATGTGCATTAGGATAATATTAAGCACTCAGTAACCAAACCCCTATTTCAGCAAGAAGTGAGGTAGTATTGTCCAACCTATGATTGTTTCGAAGAGTCCACATTAAGTAATTAAGGGAAGCTTCCACAGTACTTGCTACTAGCACATGTACATTTTCACCAGAAAATGTTAAAATAAATAAAAAAGTCTATTAACCTAGAGACAGATACGTTCCTCCATATCTCAAGAAGGAGTTAAAAAATTATTGCATCTGCTGCGGTTTCTTTAAGGGGTGTCTTTGGAGGCTTTTTTGCTTGTTTGGGTTTTAAACAAAACAAACCTCTTCCCACATTTAAGACATGCCAAAGTGCTATCTGGAGTTCTTCAGCATCACACCAGCTAGCCAAACTCAGGGTTACAGATCTACAGGAGTTCACGTTATCTTACGGAACGTAACTACATTAACTTACCTCCTAGCACTTCTGAGCTCACAGCCTGTTCATTTCCATTCTGTGGCTTGCTCCTTGATGCAATATACAGCTGCTGTCCCAGATTCTTTATTCGGTTGACATCTGCACAAACTTGTTGCAATGTCATCTTGAGATACGTGAAAAATGTGAAGTAAGAATAATATGAGTACAAAGAGGCCACAGGAGTTGACGTGAGTTCTTGTATTCTTCAAATTGAAAGTGAGTGGACTGTCAGCCTAAGCCTAATATCTGTTGGTATTTGTAAATTTAATGAATCCAATTATCATGGTTAATTTAAGTAAATTACCTATGACAAAGCTGAAACAGGCTCAGCATTTGAATATTTCAATACAGATGACAAGCCTTGAGAGTGGGAGTAAGCTGATGACTTACCCAGGAGCCTCACAAGGAAATTAGGTAATTGCAATGCTTGTTTTAGGACAGCCACTGTTTTCTATAGTAGCCAGCAAAATTAAGAGCAAAACCCAAAAGCCAGCACTCTGTAACTGACCAATTTAGCTTGAATATAGCTGTGTTCTTCCTACTTCAGTAAAATTCACGATGAGAAGTGCATACGGGAGTAAACATTTTAATTTCTAAAAGTGCATTTTTACTACTCTGCAGGTAGCGACACATTTATACACTTACTGGTTCCTGTATTTCCTCTGCACAATTCCCATTGGAGTCACTTGAAGAAGCTATGCTGATATAGTGCTCATAAGAGCCACTGCTTCCAAGGCTTCCATAACCACTGGAAACATTGCTGTGAACTGGCTGTATGAGGGGGAAAGATAGTAATTAAAAGTTCATGCTTTTAGAGAACAAACTGAAGGAAACAACATGCTTTACAACACAGAACTTCAAGTAAACACAGAAAATCAAGTGAAAAATCCGTATTTGTCTGGGCTCTACCATGTGCTTAGGAAGAATTCTCTACCATACTTCAAACTGTTTCAGAAGGCAGATTTATCTTTCAACACACAAACTTGTCAGAACTTTTTTTTGTAATGAGGTGGGCCTGTCTCCATTCAGAACTTTCCTTTTAGACCTTCTAAAAGACCATCCTCAAAGTAGCCTGCTAAGCAGACTCAAGTTTCTTTAGCCTTTCATTCAGAAGGCCATCCAGTTTCATCTTCTTTACCTGCAGAAGCAGTTTGTAAATTTGTCCTTGCAATTCTCTTATCTCTTTCTCCACACTGCTCGTTTCTTTACTTCTTGCAGCAAAGACATCTTCATTCAGAGGGCTTCTGGAGAGAGCCAACAATATTTCACTGTTCATTTTAAAATTCAATGAAGAAAAGGTAGCTATAAACAGTTAGAACAGATTCTTCATTTTATTATCATTATTTTAACTGCTTCGCTGAACCAACACAAAGGGATGTCATCTGTCCCAACAGCTGTTCTGCTGGGGTAGTGGGGCAGTGCTATGAGAGCAGGTGAGCTCCAGGGAAGCCAGAAGACCAGCAGAGACACAAGTTATAAGGTTGACAAGCATCTACCCTTCTGTCTCCTTCACTCAGAAGACAAATTCACACCCCATAAAATCCTGAATTAAAGATCACTTTGAAAAGTCAGAAGGCCATCCCAAAAAGCCATTTCCTATAAGAGAAACCAGGTACGAAGAAGACAGTCATATTTTCAAATCTCTTGGAAACTAAAGAAACACCTGCAAAATTAACTTGCACATTCAACACTAATTGCATTTTTAAAGACACCACTTTGGTAAATGTTTACCAAATTCCAGATCTGGTACCAGATTCTGCATCAAGTAAATGTTCTAGAAGGAAACATGCCAGATGATCAATGCATTGAGTTTTTCTGGGTGAGTCAATCATGAATTTTAAGTAATTATTTGTTAAAGTGACCTACTTTTATGTTGCTTTTTAGCTTTTACTCATCTAAAACTGATATTTTGATTTAGACATGTCCATTGTCATAGTATTTGGACATCAAGCATATGAAAAAAACATGCTAAAAAAAAAAAGTTAGCTTTTGCCTTTTAGTTCGAAGCAATTAACTTATTTTCATACTTAATAAACAAGACTAATGTTGTTCTGAAGGAATGGGCTAAAGACAGATACTAAGTAGTTATCACATTTGCAAGAGCAACATTATGTCTCTAGTTCAGTACTTAAGACTTTTTTGTTTTGCTGAGTAATCAATGAAAAGGACTTTAATAGATCAATGCTACAACTGACTTACGTCCGGACTTTGTGTCGGCCAATGATGAACACTACTTTCCTGCTCCAAGGATTCACAAAACTGGACCAGCTGGTATCCAGTATAACATAATCCCCATTTTGAGTACAGAATCTAATAGGTAAATGTTCAAAAGGGGGTTGGCCAGCAAATTTCAGTACTGAAAAAAATACAATGAAGAAACAAGGTTTAGTTTACATTATGACACAGTAGTGCAAGCACAAACACTAATGACTGAGGTCCTTAAAACTTTGTGATTCAATATGCTTTAATCTCAAACTGATTGCACTAAATTTTTGTCTAGACTGCAGATAAGTCACATGTCAAGCAATGCGATAAGGAAAGAATTGTAAAACCCATAGAAATTCCTCTAAAAGCAACTGTACTTACTTTTCCGGTGAATAGTAATCATCAAAGGACGATCTTCTGGGTGCAAATACATCAGTATGGATGTTCCAATTAAATCTTGGGGTAAGTAACCCAACAAAGGCACTGCTCTGAAACCCGAACACATTATCACAGGTTATAATATAGTTTTGAGTACTTACATCCTTAACTCTTTGCTTGTCAGTGAAGTGCCCATGCATGATCTACAATGGAATGAACTAAGGCTACAGAACATTTTCCAACCTAATAATCCTCCACTGCAGTACAGACACGTAAATACCAATGACAAACACTTCCGTGCCTAAAGATCTAACAGATATTCACATATGCAGGCAGTCTCGTGCTTGTCTACATGCAAGAAAAAAAAATGGGATCTTGAAAAAAAAAGAAGTCACAGGCAAAATGGGAGTAAGAAATCTGACAGGCACAGTGCAAGATGTATTGTAAAAACAGTCTTATGGCTTTGCAGGAGACACCTTCAGTCTGGCCAAATTTATTTGACCAAGCTCAGTCCAGCCGTGTCACCACTCTGATCCCCAGAGCTTGGCATTATGCACGTTTTCCACTGTGGGTGCTATCACAGCTCTTCATTACCCTGGGTAATGAAAACTGGCTGTGGTTCTGTTCAATATGCATGTTAAGACAAGAAAGGAGATTACACAGAGTGCAAGATGTTTTCCATGAGTGGACTAACACGAAACTGTTTTGTTTAATTAACTATTGCCAATTGCATAGTTCAACTTATAGTTCAACATATCTTTACTTGGGTCTCTAGCTGCGTCAAGGGATTTTTTCCTACCTCTCCATGCACACCTCACAGGTCTTAAGACTCAAATCTCTCACCTGTCATCTATGTCCAGAAAAACACATCCAGGGGTGTGAGTGGTGGTGAAGATTCTTTTATCCATAGGAATTCGAGGAGCTAATAAAAACAAAATATGCGCTAAGACAGAAAATCTAGGCATTACTTTTGCTCATGATAGAGATTTACTGGCTCCTGAACTTTTTGATTGTTCACTGCTTTCTGACCAATTCATAGAAACGTTACAGATTTTTACATGCTACAGACTTCTCTCCAAAATAAAAATAACGAGGAAAGGTGAAATGCTTTGGGGCTTGGCAAAGGCAGCAGAGATGCTCTGGATTCACATGCATGCACACACAAGCTGCAAGTTACACAGGTGAGACTACCCAAGCACAAGTTCTACACAAAGGAAGTAGGCTTTCATATACTGCATTCACTGGAATCTCCTGACTTGCCTTCATATCCGGAGTGAATTTTCTCAGCCAAAGCTAAGCAGCAGGACTCTGCATCCACATGGACAGAAGTACACACATGGACTAAGTATGGGGTGATTCGGAAGGGGTAACAACGTGTTTCTTGCTCTTGATCTTTACCACCCCTGAGGAAAAGTAAAAGGGATTCACACACACTGCTTTCGAGACTCACATATTTTGTGTCAGGGCTGAGAGCCCTGCATGGAGAAGTTATGCTGAGCACACAGACCCAGATAATCAGGTCCTATACACACTCTCTTGTGATTCAGCAATACTGATCTCTCTCCGCTCAAAATCAAGTAGGTGTTTTGCCTCCAATGCTTGCACTCAGAGGTTGTCTAGAAATACTCTTCCTCTAATGGTTGAAGGTTACCTTCTAATTTTCAGTCCAAAAGTATTCACAAGAACTACTCACTTGGTTTTGTGCTCTCATTCAAGATAAACAGTTCTTTTTCTGTTTGTTGTTTATTCTGTACCACTCTTACAGGAAAAAAAAAAATCTGACTCACTCAAGTTTTGATTCACAGACCTACATAAGTAAGGCTCCTCCAGCCTTGTTGTTGTTGACTGCCCTCCATGAGAATCTGTCTTCCTAGACCATGGGGAACAGTAGCAGCACGCAACATTGTAGAGGAGATCTTAACCATGGCTTTGCAACAGCTGCATTAGCGATTGCCCCTTTCTATTCCAAGTGTTATAAAATTGCAGTATCTTACCCAGTTCTGACAGAAAGAATTGAGACAAATTTTCGGAGATTATTCCTTACACTAAAAGTTACTTTCTTATTCCACACCTAGTTTTGTAAAATGATTCCAGAGAGAAGCTAGTGTAATAAAACCTACTTCTAACACCCCTGCCTTTGGGAAAACAAAAGATACAAATGGAAATTCGATACAGCAGAAATTTAACTAACAAAAAAATATTTTCTTACTTAAGCCTAAGGTGTGCCTGTGAAAAAATATTTTTATTCATGATGCTGACATAATCAAATGATCTGTTATGTAAGGGAAGTAGAGGCAGATGTCTTAAGAAAATATGAAGAAAAACTATTGTCAAATGTTTACAAACAGTTCCCCCAATTCAACATTGCTATCTGTCCTGCTGTATTTATTCCAGGTGCCCTTACACAATTCAAGATACAAATGATTTTAGAGCTCAGGTTTTTGCAACACATATGAATGAATCAATGATCACCTGAAAGATGGAGTAAGTGTTATATCTGCTCAGAAGCAAACAGTTCTTACTAAAAATCAAGACCTGAGTCTGGAACAGAACTGCACTGAAGATTAAAGGCCAATTTCAGGTTTTTTCTTCTTTTAGCTCTTAGATTAGTGAGGTACAAAGCAACAAACAGCATCCCTAGTGACAGCAAGTAGTATCTCAGGAGTCAGGTCTCACATTGGGACTCAGGCGACTGAGTTTCTGCTAATGCTTCCATCACAAACTCTCAAGTAATCTTAACCAAAACAATCTTTGCCTCCACCCTCAAACAAGATCATTCTTCTCCTGCATGACAGTACAGAAATAAACTGACAGATCCAAAAGAAAACTATATGAGCAAGTCTCTTCTATCCCCGTGTAAGTTTAAGAATCACTCTGGGAAGATATTCAAAGTGTCCTACTGGATGCCAATATTAAACAGAACAAATCCACTTTGTAATGGAGTTTCATGAGCTCACACTGGTCAGCTGTAAAAATAGAACAGTTTCTACCTAGTATGGTACCCTTCGTAAGCCTTCACGAAACTGTAATAGTGTACTTACCTGATCCTGCAGAAAAAGGATTTCACCTGGGCATATTCATACAGAGAAGCTAATAAAAAGAAGACATTTGAAAGTATCAGTTGATATGCTCAAAAAGGTCACACCTATCAGAACTACTTTAAATTCTGCATTCTCCAGACTTTCTGAGCAAGACTGAAGTCTTACGACCTACTCTTCATTAGCTACTGAATTAGGTGCTCAACAGTCTTCTCCCACCTCAAACGTTATCTCTCTTCTCCCACCCACTCACTCTTAGGGAAGTGGTTGGCCTGAAACTAAACTCAGAGGAAATGTGTATGACCTAAAAAAAATATCCTTTCTCCAGTGCATCACTAGGAAAAGCAAAGTTGACATTTACTGGCTTTATGAGCCATGTAACAAAAACTATATACAGGCAAGAACAACTCGATTGGGGTGCCTCTGCTCTGCTGGGTAAGCACGTGACTGGCTGCCAAGTTGTGGAATCCCTGGCACGTTAGCATTTGCAACCTCCAGATGTCTCACCATCCTTTGACAGCAAGGACTTTGGATTTCTCAGATCTGATGCCAGAACAGCCTCAGAACAACCCATGTCTAGGTGGGCAAAAGACACGCCCTTGGAACGCAAGCTACGTTTAAATTAAATTGCTCACAAATAACACATGACTCAAAAGTCAAAGTTTAGACACATCCAGCACTAAATAACAAGTCAGCTTAAAACTTGGTTTTGGTGAGCTATATTCACAGCAGGAAGCAAGTGGGCCATAAAGACAAAGCACCTAAGCAACCATGAGGTATAGATTAAACAACTTCAAACTCACAATTAGACTTTTAGTTTCTTTTAAACAGCAGCAGTATTTGGAATGAGTATGATGGTACATGAAACAATGAAGTATCTGTCTTTTACTTACCCCAAGTAAGAGTTAAGCCTCTAGGAGACTAGCAAGAACTAATCCCACAGCTACTCCAGTTTTTAAAGTGGAAAGGAAACAAGTGTTGCTGATGTATACTGCTAGTATAAGTATTTAAAATGAACTACTATTCTATCCTCATTCTGTAAAGACAGAAAGACACACAGAGTATTTAAAAGCATTGCCAAGTCCCACCTGTTTCACTTTCCATGTTCCAAAGCGGCAGGTGAGAGTGATCAGTGTGTGTGTAGAACACACTCACATCCTGAGGGACAAGCAACTCTACAAACCGGGAAGACTCCAACACTTTCTTCTTGTAGTTTAGGATAGATGCTGCCTGCTCAGAAATATGCACTATGCGTCCAGAAAGCAAAGAAAATACAGCCACAAATGTGTCCTGGAAAACAAATGTTAAAGGCAATCGTCCCCCCAAACATGGTAGTGATAAAAAGCAAACCAACCCCCAAACAAACAACCAACCCCAAACCATGATATACCACAACCTCAGGATGAGGTTCAAAAATGTGCTAATTTAGCACCCAATTAAAGTAGCGTGTAAACTACTACACTCTCCAATGCCATAACAGCATACTCAAGATTTACAAATGGTAGTAAAACTGCAGTACCAAAAGTGAAACCAGTGATGCTTGTCTTTGCCCAGAATGACTGGTTATCACTTCACGCACTTCTCCCCAAATTTCAGAGGGTTCACTACAATTCCACATAGAAAAATACTCAGAGCTTTTCAAACAGCAAGCATTTGAAATACTTCTGATACAGCATCTAGCAGTACTGAATTTCAAAAAGAAATTATTTCTTCAAAATAGAGCCAGAAAGCATGACACATATTGCAAAATAAGAAAAAAAAATTAAATCCAGAGTACAAACAGAAAAAAAAGCCCCTCACAACTCTAAACTTGATTGGTTGTGAAAACTTTTTGCTGTCTCAAGAGACTACTACACTGTAAATGAATTCTCAAAGAGCTATCTGTTGCTTTAAAAAAAAAAAAAAAACACAAGAAAAATTAGTATTTCTTCACTCATTATCATTGGGTACCTAGAGACAGCACAGATAAGAAGTAGTCTTGATCTAACTTTAAAAACTTTAAAGCCTGTCAGGCTAAAAATTAAAGGCCTTTCAGTTTTACACATTCTATTTCCACAGAGTGATGTAAGGAGACTAAATAGAGTGAAATGGGAAGTGATGAACTCCTTGAGTGTGCCTGAATTCTTACAGTGTTTTTTGGAGTGTGTTCAGATGCAACTGCCACCAGCTCTTCTATGCTGTATGTCACCACATCGGTCTGAAACACTCTTCGGTCATTCAGAGCCTGGAAAAAGTCATTGTTTGCTAATTGAAAAAAAAAACAAACAGAAAAGCAAAACAAACACAAGACAGTCAGTAAGGAGACTACTTTGAAAGTATTTCTTACAGCCCTTGTACTTTTGTCATCTTTTTGGTGAAGTCCAAGGTGAGATGAGGAAGGTCTGTGTAGTGACAAAGGGAAAAGGAATACTGGTTATACTACTGGAGTGACCTAGTTATATTACAGAAAACAAGCACGAAGAAGTAGAAAGGACAGAACATGATAGCAAAAGAACAATTTTAGCTACCTAGTTCTAGGTTGAAAAACACAAACTATCCAGTAACTTTGTAAAGTGGAATGGGAATGATGTTTTTTCAATATACATAGAAAGGTACTAGTAGGCACCTATTAGCTATGGGACTCTGAAGAAAAGAGAAGCAGTAGACGGTATTTCAGTAGAAAAGATAACATGATTGTTTAACAAAAAAAACCAAGAAAAACCCCACAGTGCTTCAGAAAGTCAATTGTTAGCAAGGTAAGTAGAATGCATTCTTTTGTTTTAATGCTATTTGCTGTCAGATACATCTATTCAAACCACGCTGCTGTTCTTCCAGATTTTCTCCACACATACCTTGGACCTGCTGAACACACTGTAAGGCGTAGTTGAGAGCACTGATAGTGCTGGGCTTGCTGGAATTCCTTTTCTCTTCAGGCAAACACCTTTTCATTTCTTGGATCATCATCATCAGATCTCTGTGAGACTGCCTCCAATTCAGCTGCTCACTGTAAAACAGAGGTTAAACTTTACCAGAGAATTCTGGTACAGAAGCTTTCTCTTCTATCACTGAATTAAAATTATTCACTAAATAAACATTTTATGGGATTGGTTGCAGCGTCACACAATATCCAGAAATGTCCTAATGCTCCTTCACTAAATTTCCTGTTGTATTTTTCTCACTTCTTTGCTACTTGAACTGTTCTCCTCTACCTTCCTTGATTCCAACTCCAATATGTCATGGCTGGCAAAGTCCCTTCAAAACCATTCTGCTTCTTAAGATGCTGAGCAACTAAAAATTAGCTGATGTTTAGATTTTGTAAATCTCACTAGTATTAAAATCATTAATAGATGCTGATTCTTGATCTCTGTAAGTTTTTACAGCCTTGAAGTCTGCATCTGATTATAAGCACCTCCGGGAATCATGAGGTTCTCAAAATACACCTGATGCAAAGATTTCATTCCTCACATGACTTCAGAGTCTTCATTATACTTTTGAGTTGTTGGCTTCAACAGCTGCAGAACTGTTAAAAGGCAAAATCTCCCCCTTCTTACATTTGCTTATTTCTTTGATTAAAAAATAAGCAGGCCATATCCTCAAATGAGATTCTAATCCTATAGATGGGATATGAACACGATTGTTTTTAATAACTTTTGTCCATTTGAGGTTATTAGTATCACACTCTTATTATATAAACCATTACATACGTTCAAGTATTTCGTGTTAATAAGCCAGTTCAATGTTTCATAAATTACAGATCTTAAACTTTTTCACGAGTTAAAAGAAATTACCACCTCACTGAATTTCTGAACTTCCAGGAAGCATATTATTTCAGTAATTTCTGCTTTGGTACTGCCAATTACGGTCTTAACATACACACACAAGCTACCAAAGGGTCACTGCCGTGTATGGCTCAGCCGATCTCCGACCCAGGCACATCTCAAGGAGCCGCGCAGCAGCAGCAGGCTCAGCTCCTCTCCACACGCCGCGGCCTGTGCCCCCAGCACTGCTCGGGGTCCTCCCCGAGCAGCCCCCACGGGTCACGGCCGCGCCGGGTGTCCGGCACCCGCCCGCCCCCGCCGGCTGCCCGGTTACCTGTTGGCTTTGACGGCGGCCGAGCCGCCGCTGGACTCGGGGCTGTGGAGCTCCGTCCCGCCGGGGCCAGTTCCCGCACACGCCGTACACCGAGGGCCCGCCGCCGGCTCCCGCCCGGTCCCCGGGCACTGACCGGCGCCGTGCTCCGCGCTGCCCCCTCGGCGTTCGCCCGCGTCCATCTCGGCTCCCCGGAGAGCCACAGCGCGGGGGCATCGGCCGTCACGACCCCTCGGCACAGCCAGACCCTTGGCCCGTGGTGCTGGCCCCGGTGCTGTAGGGAGAACACGCGACGCCCCAGGAGACAGCGGCAGGAGTGGTGTTCCCCCTCCTCCCCCCGCCAAGCAGAGCGGGCACCGGGGCCGGTTCTGCGCTCCCGCGCTGCTCTCTGGCGCGCACTCCCTCAGCTCGCCGCTCGGGTGGATTCCTCACAGAAGACCCCGCCTGATCCCGGGTGGCCTCCGTTTCGTCTTCCCGCCCCTCCGAGCCCCCCCCCCAAGGCCGCGCCTGTCCCGCCAAGCCCGGGCTGTTCCCGCTCCGGGCCGGGAGCGCCCTCAGCGGCCGCGCCCCCGTCCCGCGCGATTACGTAACGCGGCGCACGCGGCGACCCCTCTCCCACACAACCCCGCCACGTGCGAACAGAAGAGAAGGCGGAGGCGGGGTCAGAGCCGTTTATTGGAGGAGACCGCGCTCAACGGGGCGGGGCCGCGACCCCGCGTGCGCTGGCCCCGCCCCTCACGCGGCGCCGCACGCGGCCCCCGTGCGCGCGCCTGCCCCGCCGCCACGTGCTGGGCCGGGGCCGCCCCCGGGCGGGGCCGCGAAAGGGGCGGGGCCGCGAAAGGGGCGGGGCGCCCGCGCGCGCGCAGAACCGCGGGGCGGGCACAGCGGCGGTCGCGCAGCTCCAGAGCCGGGTCCGCCTCAGCGGCTCCGCACCCCACTTTATCAAGGCACTGTGCAAGTGGTGAGCTGTGCTTGTTAGTAATTAATGGCAGGAGTGTCTTAAGGCAACCAGTAAAGTTAGTTAACATTTCAGTAATGAAAATAGTTTTGCTTTAAACAGCAGTAAATGGACTGAAAGTGCAGCAGGTTTGAAGTGGAGAGGCTGAAGATTCAGAGGCACCTTCAGCTGATCTGAGTTTCTTCCTGTAACTCATGAAGACACAGTGGAGACTACAAAAAAAGAAAGAAGTTGGGCAGTGTCCTTCAGCCCCTCACCATAACAATCCTGCATTTTAAGAATTTAAGATAATAAAGATAAATCCCTCTTAAATCCTCTAAATCTAAGAATTTGCCGAGGCTGGTTTTCTTTTAGCTGCACTTTTCCTTTGTGTTTGCCCTCCAGTACTGCTCACCCAGGACAACATCTCTGATGTCAGTGGTTACTGCAGTGTTTGTTACTGTATCACAGCACTATGCTCATTTCATCTGGCAGCAAAACCTCTACTCAAAGAAAACCTCCTTGCTATGGTAGTGCACTTGGAACTCCCACATCTAGCAGGAAGCTACGGCAAATGATAAACAGACTCAGACAAGGGAGGTGCGTGGAATTTCAACTTACACTTCTGCAACATGCAGCTAAAAAAAATAAAAGCAAGTCTGTTCCTGGTTTCTCAGTCCTTGCTATTTTCATAGCAAGTTGGTTGATACTTAAGTCCCGGAGCTCCCACGGTAGTCCCAGTTTACCACTCACTGCAAACAATGCTTGTTAAAGCTGTCACTACTACTTCAAATTAATGTTGTATATACTTCTATTTGAGCATCCTGGCTTCATTTAACCTGTACGGTCAGTGAATTAACACCATTTATTCCAAGCCTATGAGAAATTCCCACTTCAGTGAAACTTACCGATGATGATGATGATGATAATGACAACAACAGCTATCAATATTGCCCACATCTGTGAAAAGAAGCCACACAACACTTACTACAAACCATGCAACAGCATTCACTATACCTCAGGATATGGGAAAACAGTCCCTGCAAGGGACTTTAGCACCACGTGTCAGATCTAACATGGCAAACAAAGCTTCTTCAGTAAGCGAGCTTGATCCACACTTAGAGATGGCAGGCCATGCACACAGGCAAAACACAGCAGTACAGTCTTCTCCACATAGAGCTTGTCTCAAGTGAATATACAAGTCTTTGTTACTCACCAAAGATGATTCCAACCTTTGCCAACAGCTACAAGTACAGGAGTCTGAGTGAGCTTCTTCCACTTTCTAATACTTCCTCTACATTAACTCAAGCTATGCATTTTTACGCTTTTCTTCCTGTTCTTCAACAACTCAGATTACTGACATGTTCTCCTCTGGCCATTACCATCTTACACATGATCTTGCATAGGGCAGCATGGCCACTAGTTCAGCTTTTCATTCATTCACCCAGCCACTATGTCAAGCTTTAAAAAACTAGATGCTGTAAGTTAAACAACATTGGCTAAAGTAATTTCTACCTTTTGAGATGCCAATTGTAATAGTGTTACCTGTAGTACTGCACAGCGTAAGTACACAAGGGAAGGTTACCTTACAGTTCTTCCACCAATACTTCCTTTTCAGCTTGGCTGCGCTGGTCTCAAATTGGGAAGCTCCTGCTTGCAGTGCATCAGCACGGTCATCCAGCTCTGAGAGCTTCTGATCTCGTTCCAATACCTTGTCCACATTCACTCTCATGATGTCAACAACCTACACCAGTTTAATGCTTACAGTAAGTTACCAGTTGTATAACCCATGGCAGAACATAACTGCAGGCAACAGACGGCAACACGTGGTACTCAATGTTCTCTTTTCACAAGCACGAGCCATTGCCTTTTAATATATGCAGTCATAATTTTAACAAAACTCTGGAATTCACAGTTGGGCTGGAAGCCCTTAATACCTACTTCAAAAAGTCAGTAGTGCCAGTAGTGTTGGCATTCCTTCAAACCTGGGAAATAATTCCTGACTTGCTTCAGAAGGAGCTGAGGCATACAAACATGATAGTAAAGCATACGTCAAAACATACTCTTGCTAGCCAGCCTGGCTTTTGGACTCCACAAAAATCTAGACACATCATATTTGGCAGTCAAGCCCTCAGGGCTACTGATGAGAAAAAAGGTTTTTCTCTGTAAGAACAAAGGTTTTTATCTTTAATTTTGCCAAATCCTCAAGCAGCAAGACTGCAGATAATATTTGGACACTGGTAACTTCTCTCCACTTCCCATTCGTATAATGAAGGGAAAACTGCTTTGGTAAAAATATCCCTTCTAGTTATACAGGTTTCCTGAAGGAAAACAATGACACTGCTATTGGACTAGACTTTTACCTCGTCTACTTGGTGTTGAGTCTGCTGAAGCCGACGATTACTGCCAGCAGCCACATTTGAGCTTCCAGGGATATTGGCTGACCTGCAGTAAAGAAAAGCATCATTATTAACCTGACATTCCTGAGATGTATCCTTGGAATAAATGTAGGGCAGTTTCCTACTGAAGAAACGGCATTTTAACAGCTGACGTTAAGTGCAAGTCACGCAGTGCTCCAAATATCTTGTCAACAAACTGCCTGCCATTCTAAGAGACAGCAATGGCTTGCTAATACAACATTTTGCAATAAGGCACAGGACAGCTCCAACAATGGTTCGTAGGGCTCAAGGAGTCAAGAGTTTGGGCTCGGGGGTGTTCTTGCTTTCCACTATGAACACAAATATTAAGTTTCAAGCTACAATAGTTTATAAAAAAATTAAATACAAAAACTTAATGCTTTTTCTAACTATGTGCTTCTCTATTGTTGTCTGTCTCTATTATTTTGAAACGGTTGATACGGAGCAAACGAAAGCACCAGAAGGAAAAAGATTTTGGCATATACAAGAATTTACTTCCGGTCAGCTTTGAATTCATAACAGAGCTTTTTTTTTACTAGCTTCAACACTCTGCATCTCTGTAATGGATGCAAGAGTTCCCATACATAGTCCTCATACCCTTCTCACTGCTTTGCCAACTTTTTATTGCATATCTCTAGAACTACCTGTAGTCAATTTCCTTTTCTATGTTGTTATTTCTTCCACATCAGACCCTTGTTTAGTGCATCCTGGCACTCCAAACACTCAAGTCTGACTATTTCCTGTATTTACATATTTATACATTCAAAGTTTCACGCAGAGAGAACAAAAGTGTACACGCAAAAGGCGTGAGCCGGAAAGCCCGGGGCCAGGCTCGAAGCAGGCCCTGTACAGGCCAGCATCACCGCTCGACTGTTTTGGCACTTCCGCCAATCTCTGCTTCTATTTCACTGCTAGTTCCATGTGAACAGTCTTGGAAGCGACATCTCCAAACACAACAACGGCCCGGGTCTCAGCAGGCGCTGCCCCGGCGGAGTGGCCCCGCTCCGACAGGTGCCCGGGGAGTGGCGGAACAGCCCGGCCCGGTCAGCCCAGCGTCCCGGTACCGGCCCGAGCAGCGGCTCAGGGCGTGCGGCCCGAGTGAGGACCACGCGGGGCCTCTGCACAGCCGCTCTGGGAACCCCCGCCTGCCTGGGCGCGGCCGGGCCCGGCGCCGCTGCCCGGCTCCCCCGCGCCCCCCCGCACGGCCCCGCACTCACATCCTGCCGGCGGGACGGGCCGCGGCCGCAGCGCCCGGGCGGCTCCAGCGGGAACTGCGCTCGGCGCCGACGGCGCCCCGGGTGACGTCAGAAGGGCGGGGCCTGCGGGCGGGACAGGGGGCGGGGCCCCGCCCCCGGAGGGAGCGGTCGGGCGCGCGGCCGCAGGGGGGCGCCCTCGCCCTGCCCCGCGGCGGTCCCGGCGGGGCGGCCTCGGCTCCTTTCCCCGGCACTTTCTGAACCGTCTTCTTCTCACTCCAGCCGCTTTGTCCTCTCGTTTGGTCTCCCAGTTCTCTTCCCCCATTCCACTGTGGAGAAGGGGGAAGGTGGGGGAGTAAGCAGACAGCTGGTAAGTGTCTACTTTCAGTACGGAGCAACCCATCACGACAGTGGAGAACTCAGCAATTAACAGGCATGTAAAAAAGAAAAATGGGGAAGTATCCGAGATCAATTTGGGGAGTTAAATGCTGATTTATTCTTTAAGAGAAACTAATTAAACTTTGTAATAAAAAATAAACTCTCTTAAAGAAATCTCATCTTCTGTTGTGGTTCTGGGTTTTGGAAGAACTTATTCACAGCAGTACTAAGAGACTCTTTTGCATACCAGATGAGTATTAAACCTGGTTTTCCCTGCTAGGCTGGCCTTGTAACAGTCTGGTACAAAAGCTTCATTATTGAGGGCTAGTTTGTGTAACTTACATATCTGATCAGTGCAAAGTTATTGTGTCTCAGGTATTTGTATTATTGTGACCTCTGATACATCTGCATCAGCAGCCCTCTTGAATTCTCCTAAGATTTGCCTCTGCTTTGTGCACACTGTAGGATTTAGCATTTTGCTACCAGGTATATATGGTTTCTCATGAAAAGCCCTGAAGTGAATGCCCACTGAAGAGG